ACAGAAAAGTACTCCAAAGTTGTGTTTTTCCATGTTTTATTATCATCATAATCATCACTAGAGGACAGTCACAATAACCCCAGACCCTACCTGTTCCCCTTCCCCTTTAAAACAGCAACAAAAGAACCGGAACAAGCATTTTACAAAATCCATCCTAAGAAAATCAACAGCTGAAAGGAAAACCAGAAAATAATATAACTCTTCAATATCATCATAATAATTAATAATAATAATAATAATAATACAAGACGTCCAGGTCAAATCAAGCCATCCCCATTGACTAAACTGTCTATGAGATCTGACATCTCAAAAATATAGTTATATATACACTCTGCTGTAATGTTCTGTACAAAATGTGGCAACACTAATTTCCCTGTTACATGCAACGCCCCACGCTCTGTACACCTGTCCCAAACCACGCCTTTTCGATCACATTTTATTTTATTATCACCACGACGACCATCACAACGTCTTTAGGGAGTCTTCAAAGTTCGGGAAATCCTATCAGGCGTATGTGCGCTTTAAAAAGAGAAACAGCGATAACCCTTGAGAGCCTAGTCCAGAGTCTTCCGTGAACAATAGTTGGTGTGGAGTGGGTTATGGACTGTTTTCAATGGGTTATAATATGATACAGGGGTTAATGTGGCATGCTAACAACACATTTATTCTAAAACATTTGTGGAAAGTGTGAATAAATTGGCTTAAAATGTCGTCCAAGTAAGTGCGGAGTTACTGTAGTTGTAGTTTCCATTTGTATTAAAGCTGCACTGTGTAACTTTTCTCGAGGCACGGGACTGTTTTCATATATGTCAAGTGCCGCTAGACCAATTTACAGGTCAGATCTGTGGAGAGGAGACCGTGCTCACGATAAGAAAGCATGTTTTCGAGCACCAAAAGCACCCATAGTTCAGTAAAGTTTAACGCTGTACTGTGGAGGAGTCCTACAGCAAATCAATACAGGCAGGTGATGAAAAGTTACACAGTGCAGCTTTAATATAAGTCAAATAGGAACCAAAGAGTATACACTGCTTAAAAATGTGACTTCTTTGAGTTTCCCAAATCCATAATTACACACAGTTACACTATTGATGCTTTGCAGAGACGTCATGCTGGAGGTGTTCTACGTGTATCACTATGGCGGGATGTTTAGGAGTTACCATGGAGACACGACGCATGCAAAACAGTTTCAGGATGGTCCCAAGTTTTAAGATGAAACCCAAGAAAATACAAAATGGATTAAACAATATATTTTCAGGAGCCTGTGAGATTTGTTTAAGAGCACAAATTATCTTATGATATACTTCGAACTAAGTCTGTTATTTCTGGTCAGATTGTATGAAAACAATACTAAAGTCTAAGGTTATGTTCAAACTGCAGCCTCAAGTGACCCAAATCTGATTTTTTTTCACCCCTATGCGACCTGTATCTGATCTTTTAATGACCTGAACAGCACAGATCTGATTTTTTCAAACGCGACCCAGACCACTTGGATATGTGCTCCTAAAATCAATACATATCTGATCTTTTGACATGCTCCTTCAGTCTGAACGGCCAGGTCGCATTCATCCCACTTACATGTCAGGCTCAGAGTTTAGTCACTGGAGGGAAAGCGAGGTTAGCGTGTTTATAAATATTTGGGGGGATCGCTGTATTCAGGCCAAAATGGAGAGGTCTTTTCGAAACCGGGCAGTTTTTGAAACGATTGCCAAAGTAATGGCTTAGTGCGGCTACAGACGGTCCTCAACCTGCGAGTCAAATACAAGGAGGCTAAAGACTCAAACAGACGAAGTGGCCATGGACGTGTAACCTGTCCATTTTACCAACAACTGGACCGTAATTTGAGAGACAAGCCCAACGTTTAGGCGACTTCCGTTAACACTGAGGACGCTCGCTGCCTGTGTCATCATCGTGTCCTCTAATGCGCTTTTGGGACACTTTGGGGGCGTTTAAAGATCACATACAAGTCAAAATTAATTGGAAATGTGAACGACCTCACAAAAAAATTTACAAAAAAATCCGAATTGAGCATTAAGCCCTGCAGTGTGAACATTGCCTAACTTCAGTAACAGCTTCAGACAGAGCAGTGTCTACAGTTAGCATCACACCCCGAGAGAATGTTGGTGACATCAGCTGCAAAGATTCAATGATTTTGCTTCTCTGAGGGAAGACAGGGCCAATTTTATTCTTAGGGACAGGAAAGGATCACCTCACTGGGTTCATATACAATAAAAGCATACATCATATACAATAGCACTTTGTTTACTAATGTATAAAGCCTCTAAAGTGATCTGTGTATTTCTATTTAATTTCACCAAATACTGCAAAAATATATTACGTTCCCAAATGACGGACTTTTTAATAAGCTAAGATGTTATGTGATGGTCATTCATATTCGCGCAGTTAATGCTATAAGAATGTGACTTGTGTACATGCGTTTCATTGTGGCTTTTAAGGTAGAAGAAGAGCGACTTTAAACTAAAACTACTGCATTTCCACCTTGTTACTTACACATCAGGACAGCGCACCCAGAAACACCTCATCCTAATCACTATAGTAACTGGACATGGATGACGGGTCTCGACCTGAGTTGACATTAATAAGGTTAAATGAGACCGTCGCGACACTGCAGTATGAGGCGTTGTACATGTACACCAGTAGGGGGCGATGTACAGGAGCACGGCTTCACACGCTGCAGGTCAGTGTTCAGGTGAAAGTTCAAAGCGGGAATTGCACTTGTTGAGGTGAGAAGTTTGGGATTTTTCTTTTTTTTCCCCACTTTTTTCAATAATCAGGGAGGGTAATTATCTCAATAGAATCATAAAGAAAAGTCAAAAATGAAAAACTACGCACACTGGACGAAGCCTGACCATCAAAATCCATTCACTTTCTCAGCAATAGATTATGGGTCGTCGATATTTAAAGGGGAAAAAAGTGTGTGTTTGTAAATGGAATATTTTCTTCTTGAAAGTTTGAAAGTGCGCTAACATTTCTGGTGGAAGGTCGAGTAATTGTATCCATGGAAATATTATTGCTTTGCTTGTATTGTATTGTATTGTATTGTATTGTACGGCCAGATCTGCGTACAGTGAGAAAGCTTCCGGTCCGTGTACCATTTGTACTTTTGAATTTCAGTTAAGAACAAAAAACAATAAAAGAGGAAACCAGTTTGTTATTAAATTTTTCTATTTTAGTGTCAATCAAAAAAAAAAAAAAAAAAAGATTTCGATCTCTATTTCCAACATTTCATTAAATTTATTTCAAATAATACCAATTAAAAAACATCAGCAGTCATCGTGCCTATTTTAATTTTGATATTTTATTCTCTCTGGTTTATTTGTCCCGAAGTACTGCTGCTAGAAGGACTTACCTGAAAAATAATTGCAATTTTGTGGACAAACATGTCCTTTTATATCAGGGGTGTCAAACTCAAATTCACAGAGGCCAATATTAAAAACTGAGACTAAGTCGTGGGCCAAACTAAATATTTATTGAAAAATGTTAGCAACACCTGCATGTTTTCTCTTCTTTCAAGATATGTAATGTTAAACCTTTTTGTATTAAAATAAATGTTTAATAATAGTTTTGCTTTAACACTGAATCCAGAACAAGCTTAATATAAAATAATAACAACATTTTAAATAAATAATGTCTCTATAGTCTATCTGTAGCCGGGGGGCAGCTCTAATACATATCTGATATGATCTCGTGGGCCAAATATAATTATATCATGGGCCAAATTTGTCCCCCGGGCCTGAGTTTGACATGTCTGTCTTATAGCAACGTGTTTACTTTTGCATTTTAGAAAGTCAATGTTGAACTCCATGACGAGAAACAGAACGCAGCGAGGAGATAAACATAACTTCTGGGGCATATAAACCAGAGAGAATAAAATATCAAAATTAAAATAGTCACCAAGACTGTTTTTTGATTGGTGTTACTTGAAATAAAATTTAAATTAAAATAGAAATCAAAATCAGTTTTTTGTTTGATACTAAAACGGAATAATGAAATAACAAACTGTTTTCCCATTTTATTGTTTTTCGTTCTTAATTGAAATCAAAAGAATGAATGGTACACGGACTGTTAATGACTGGTAAGTTTAATGTCATACCGTGGAACATTCCAGGCAAAGCAATAACATTTAGAAAAGTTTCATAGCGTACCTTTAAATTGGATTGATTTTGAAAAATTCTCCAATTCGACTGCCCCATACTTCTACTGCTGCTGTTAGTTTTTTAATGGGCTAAGATTCATTCAACTGTATTTATTAGAGCGTGTTACATTTTACTATTCAGCTGCTAAAAATAAAAACATTTGAGTTCCTATTTTTGGTAAAGATGGAGAATGAGGATTGGATTGCTGGGCAGGCTACAAAACTGACACAAAGTCTGTAATCATTTTCCAGTTGAAATAAATGTACAACAATACAATTAGCAAATAAATAGTCAAACGCAGAAAACTATAAACTAAAAGTACACACATTATCATTTTAAAGTTAAAGTTTTGCATTTCTAAACATCTCTATCACCAATCCAGGTTTACAACGGCAACCCTTATTAGCCTACGTCAAATTGAAATACGCAAAAGTGACATTGTGACAGTCATTTCCACCCTTGTGCTACGTCTACATGGCTGACAAAAGTGACAAACAAAACCATGCATTTGGTTGAGAGTTGACGAAACAGTCCGGAGCGATGCGTTCAATGTGCTTTATCCACAACCGGAGCGACGCGAATCTGGCATTTTAGCTAGCTGGCTCCCTTTAGTCCTTCCAAGCTTCCGTCAGTGCCACTGTTTGAACAAGTGTCCTTATATTTTACAACTCCACATTCATCCTTACATACTTACAAGTGCTCAGGCATTCTCACTAAAGCAACCACGCACACTTTGAGAGCTCATAGTCCTGCTCTGGAAATCCAAAATGGTTTGAGTCTGGTATAACTCTTGGTCCAAAGGCGTTTTTTTGGGAGTTTGTAAAATGTGTTTTTCGTTGGTTTGGTTCACTCTTCCTCCTCCTCGTCTTCGTCGGACGGTGGTAGCAGCTCCTCTTTGAGACAATCTCTGTAGAAGCTGGTCAGGGTGGAGTACAGGTGCAGCTGGCTCACCTCGGACAGGAAGTGGCCCTCGTCTGGATAGATCTGAACACATACGAGATGGTACATTTTTAGTATTCATATTTGGAGGATTAGAACAGGCCGATATTTATCACGCCGATCATAATTTAAAAATGAAAACATGAAATGATTACAAAAGGAGATAAATCTGTGTCAAATCTGTGTGGTCTTTTTATTTTTTTTTACATAAATAATTGCTTTTTGACATGGTTTTAAAGCTACGCTGTGTAACCTTTCTGATGGGGGGTTTGTCATCTGCTTCTCTCCATGGAAATGTTGCCTAGAATGTTCCACAGTATGGCATTACTCTTATCTAGCTATTTGGAGTCCAGAGTCCAGAGTGTCGGGTGTGTTTTAACATTCTGGAATTTTACAGGCAGGTAGTGATTACACATGGGAGGGTCAAGTGAATCAAATGAACAATGAACGGGAGAAAAACGTGCATGGACGTGCGTCCAGGACGTCCACTGCGTCCAGGACGTCCACTGCGTCCAGGACGTCCACTGCGTCCAGGACGTCCACTGCGTCCAGGACGTCCACTGCGTCCAGGACGTCCACTGCGTCCAGGACGTCCACTGCCCTGGAAACAAGTGCCTTTTCCCGGTCTTTTCCTGGAACAATGGCAGACCAGGTTAAGAGAGTGACTTTAGTGCTTTTATTACATAAATCCATCAGCGGAGATGATTGGCTCAGCGGCTGCGCTCCTGGTTTAGTCCTGGTTAAGTCCTGGTTTAAGTCCTGGTTAAGTCTTGGTTTAGTCCTGGTTAAGTCCTGGTCCAGTCCTGGTTCGGTTCGGCGGTTCGGCGGTTGTGGCATGTATATATTTATATTAGTATGCTGGTTTGGTCCTTGTTTAGACCTGGTTTAAACCTGGCTCAGTCCTAGTTTAGACCTGGTTAAGTCCAGGTTTAGACCTGGTTTAGACCTGGTTTAGTCCTGGTTTAGTCCTGGTTAAGTCCTGGTTAAGTCCTGGTTTAGTCCTGGTTTAGACCTGGTTTAGACCTGGTTTAGACCTGGTTTAGTCCTGGTTAAGTCCTGGTTTAGACCTGGTTTAGACCTGGTTTAGACCTGGTTTAGTCCTGGTTAAGTCCTGGTTTAGACCTGGTTAAGTCCTGGTTAAGTCCTGGTTTAGACCTGGTTAAGTCCTGGTTTAGACCTGGTTAAGTCCTGGTTTAGTCCTGGTTTAGACCTGGTTTAGTCCTTGTTTAGACCTGGTTTAGACCTGGTTAAGTCCTGGTTTAGACCTGGTTTAGTCCTGGTTAAGTCCTGGTTTAGTCCTGGTTTAGACCTGGTTTAGACCTGTTTTAGACCTGGTTTAGACCTGGTTTAGTCCTGGTTAAGTCCTGGTTAAGTCCTGGTTTAGACCTGGTTTAAACCTGGTTTAGTCCTGGTTAAGTCCTGGTTTAGTCCTGGTTAACGTTACATCCCAGATCTGTGGAGAGGCGAGCCCACTCACTGTAAGAATGCAAGATTTTAGGCCAATACAAACTCATGTTATTGAGCAAACGCAAGATGGATAAGTTTAATGCCATACAGGGACATTCCAGGCAAAGGAATAACATCTCCATGGAGACAAGCAGATGAAGGACTCTCCACTGGAAAAGTTACACAGTGCTCCTTTACATAGGGTTGTCATAATCACATTCTATTGTCTAAAGAAATGATCATGGTCGTATTGGAATCAGTATCAAGTATTGAGTTTGAAATTGTAGTTTTTGTGACAACACTAACTTGAAATTTTAAGTTTAGTTTTAATTTAGAATATGTTCACAAAAGTATGTACTTATTAATACTCCCAATACACTTGATACTTTGAAGTTTACATATTTTTCCAAGGTCTCACCTGCATGCAAAGTGAATATGCATATTTATGTGTGAGCAGGTGCATTATCACTTCGGGCTATAACCGTTTCACTAAACTGAACTTAGCAGCCATTTTATCCTTCATTAATAATAAAAACAAAACTTAAATTATGATTCCAATTACATTTCTTTGCCCAACAGCTAAGTAAGTCTGTGCATGCACTGCTAAGAAAACAAATGAACACCGGGTTCACTTTAAACACTGTCAGCCAAAAGTTTAGACACACCAACTTATTCAGTTTTTTCTATATGTTTACGACTTTCCACATTTTTTATGCACACAGAAGACATAAAACATAACTTAAATAACTCCTAAATATATATGTTATGCTCAAATATTCAAAGTAACCCCCCTTTGCTTCATATTTATTAAGTATTTGAGTTATTTCACTTTTTCTTTACTACATAACTTCATATATTTTGCTGCATTTATTTGCTGTCTTTTCTATTCATCTGAAATGTAGAAAGTAATTAATTTTTTGTCTTTATTTGTACTATTTTCTACATATATTTGATGTCCTCTCAGCCTAAACAGTGATTTTAAATTTGATAAGCAGATAAACGGCATCTTAAAATCAAGTTTTTATCATTTACGGTTTTGATCCAAAGTCAAATCTTGTTTATCTTTTAATCTTTTTGAACAGGTCATGCACGCTTTTATTTCATCACGTCTGGATCACTGCAACGCACTGTACACGGGCATCTCTCAAAACGCACTTTCCCGTCTGCAGTTAGTCCAGGACTCCGCCGCACGACTTCGAACAGGAACCAAAAAAACGAAAACGTATCACACCAATCCTCACGTCTGTGCACTGGCTTCCTGTTCGATTTAGAGTTGATTTTAAGATTTTATTGTTTGTTTTTTTAAGCTTTGAATGGACTGGCTCCACAGTACGTCTTTGACCTCATCAAGATTTACTCCCCTGACGTCCGAGGGCCAGCTCCAGCTCGTGATGCCTAAGAAGAGATTTAAAACCAGGGCCATCTCTGTGGTTCGCCCTAAGCTCTGGAACATTCTGCCCCTCCACAGCCCCCCAGTTTATTTGATGACGGTCTGAACAGAAGACGCAAATGTGGCGTCTCGTCTTCAGCTTTTTATTCTTTTATTCCCTGTTTAGACGAGCGTTTTTCGGGAGGAAATCTGCATGCATACGGTGACGCAAAAGTGTAATGAATTCACCTTCGACTGGTTCTCCAGGTCTTGTCCATATCTGTCTGGCTCACCTGCGACGAACTGTTGCATCCACAGACGTAACTGCAGATCCTTCTCTCTTCACTAATAGTATCTGTATATTCTGTACATTTGTTGGGAGCCTCCTGTAAGTTTATTAGAGCTGAAGGTCTGACGCATGGAAATGATCCGACATGTTTGCTTTCTGTGTACTGTATGTATGTGACGTGAGCAGATCTGACCAGAGTTTTGTGTCTTGGGCAGTTTAGATGGCAACGCTACGGTGGAGCGTATTCAACTTTTCCACTCTGGAGGGTGGTTTCACATTTTTGCATTTTTAAGCCCCAAAAATGCTGTCACCATCTAAACGAACGGCACTTTCGATAAAATATTTTGTAGTTTTTTACTCACAAATGGGCCCTTAGAGTTGATTTTAAGATTTTGTTTGTTTTTAAAGCTTTGAATGGACTGGCCCCACAGTACGTTTCAGACCTCTTCCAGATTTACTCCCCTGAGGTCTGAGGGACAGCTCCAGCTCATGGTGCCTAAGACGAGACTTAAAACCAGGGCGGACAGGAACGTCTCTGTGGTTCGCCCTAAGCTCTGGAACGCTCTGCCCCTCCACGTCCAAACAGCTCCCACAGTGTGTTTCAAGACTACGTTTATATGATGATGGTCTGAACAGAAGACGCAAAAGTGGCATTGCGTCTTTACTTTTTATTCCAGGTTTAGATGAGCATTTTCGGGAGGAAATCTGCATGCATACAGTGACGCAGAAGTGTGAGGAATTCATCATTGACTGGTTCTCCAGGTCTCATCCATAGTTGTCTGGTTCGCCTGTGACGAACTGGTGCATCCAGAATTTGAGGTAATTGCCAATCCTCTCTTCACTAATAATATCTGTGCATATTCTGTACATTTGTTGTGATACTTCCTGTAAATTTATTAGAGCTGCCAGAACAACTTGAAGGTCTGACACATGGAAATGATCCGACATGTTTGGTGAGCAGATCTGACCAGAGTTTTGCGTCTTGGGCAGTGCAGATGGAAACTCTACGGCGGAGTGTATTTAACTTATCAACTCTGGAGGGTGGTTACAGAGTTTTTGTGTTTTTAAGTCCCAAAAACGCCGTCACCGTCTAAACGAAAGGCACTTCCGATAAAATATTTTGTCATTTTTACTCACAAACGGGCCCTTAGAGTTGATTTGTTTTTAAAACTTTGAATGGACTGGCCCCACAGTACGTCTCGGACCTCATCCAGGTTTACTCCCCTGAGGTTCGAGGACCAGCTCCAGCTCATGGTGCCTAAGACAAGACTTAAAACCAGGGGGGACAGGGACTTCTTTGTGGTTCGCCCCCAAAACACCGTCACCGTCTAAATCAGGGGTGTCCAAACTTTTTTCATCAAGGGCCACATATCTAAACACAGATGAAGCAGAGGGCCGATTGAGGGCTGTAGACTGATGCTCAGTACAGAGAATATTGAAATATGTGCATGTTTAACACGTTAGAATGAGCCATCAGTTTTTAATTATGCTACAATCCTTAAAACCACACACTAAATACTAAATATTTGCTTTATCAAGGTAGATTTTCAAAAAACTTGCAGTAAAAAAGGTAATTTGGGCCAATTCACCTGGAAGTCTGAGGGCCAAGAAAAATTTGCCTCAGGGCCGCATTTGGCCCCCGGGCCATAGTTTGGACATGCCTGGTCTAAACGAAAGGCACTTCCAATAAAATATTTAGCCGTTATGTCAGGCCCTAAATCTTGTCTCAACACCGTGCGAGTTGTGTGGTCATCTGTTATTTATTTGATTCATTGATTTATCATTTTTAGCTTTATGCATTTTAACACAAGTAGAAAGTAGTAAACATATATAAAAACAAAACAAAATAACAATGAGATGGAGTGTCCAAACTTTTGACTTGTAGTAGTATATGTGCTTGTACTTGTCTTGTCTTCTTACTGGAGGCTGTAGTTTATGAAATGTGTTGCAGAAACACAGTGGGTTGGACATTGTGTGGAGTCAGCAGCGACAGCAGGGTTGTGTATTCTGGAGTGAGGCTTAAACCTCGTCTGAACATCCCCACACAAGGAGACGGATGTTAACATGTACTTTTATAATACCACACACACGTACCTCTGAGCCCGCTAATCCCAACCTTGTTAAACCTGACATTTCAGCTCCTCTCTCTCCCTCTCTCTTCCCTCTTTCTCTCTCTCACCTGCCCTACCTCTTTCTTTCATCCCTCTCACTCCTCTCTCTCCCCCTCAGTCATTCTATCTCTTTCTCTGCCCTTCTCTCTTTCTATTCTGCCTCTCTTCTTCCCTCCCTCCCTTTTGCCCTCGTCCCCCTTTCTCTCTCTCTCTCCTTTCTCTTCCTTCCTCTCTACCTATCTCTTCCCTTTCCCTCCCTCTCTATCTCTGTCTCTCTTCTTCCCTCCTCTCTCCCGTTTCTTTTTCCTCTCTTGCTTCTCTCTCCCTCCTCTCTCTCTCTCTCCCTCCCTGCCTCTCATACCTCTCTATCTTTCTCACTCTCATTCAGCCCCTCCCTCTCTCCCCCCTCCTTTCTCGCCCTCCCTCTCCACCTGTTTCTGTCTCTCTTCCCTTCTTTTTCCCTCCCTCCCTCCCTTTTTGCCCCCTTTCTTTATTTCTCTCTTGATTCTCTCCCCCCCTTTCTCCCTCCCTCTTGTGTCTCTCTATCTCTCTCCCTCTCATGCTGCCCCTCCCTCCTCCTTCTCTTCCTCTCTCCCTCTTTCTCCTTCTCTTCCTCTCTTTCCCTCTCTACCTCTCTCTCCTCTCTACCTCTCTTTCCTCTCTCTTCTATCTCCCTCTCTTTCCTCTCTCCCTATCCCCCCGTACCTCTCTCTCCTTTCTCCTTCTCTACCTCTCTTTCCTCTCTCTCTCCTCACTCCCTCTTTTTCTGCTCTTGCTCTCTTTCCTCTCTCTCTCCCTCTCTACCTCTCTCTCCCTCTCTTTCCTCTCCCCTTCTCTACCTCTTACCTCTCTCCCTCTCTACCTCTCCTTCCTCTCTCCCTCTCTCCCTCTCCCTCCCTCTCTCCCTCCCTTTCCTCTCCCCTTCTCTACCTCTTACCTCTCTCCCTCCCTACCTCTCCTTCCTCTCTCCCTCTCTACCTCTCCCTCCCTCTCTTTCCTCTCCCCTTCTCTACCTCTTACCTCTCTCCCTCCCTTTCCTCTCCCCTTCTCTACCTCTCTTTCCTCTCTCCTCTCTCCCAATCTCTCCCTCTCTTTCCTCTCACCCTCACTACCTCTTTCCTCTCACCCTCTCTACCTCTCTTTGCTCTCTCCTTCTCTTTCCTCTCTCCTCTCTCCCAATCTCTCCCTCTCTTTCCTCTCACCCTCTCTACCTCTCTTTGCTCTCTCCTTCTCTTTCCTCTCTCCTCTCTCCCAATCTCTCCCTCTCTTTCCTCTCACCCTCACTACCTCTTTCCTCTCACCCTCTCTCCCTCTCTTTCCTCTCCCCTTCTCTACCTCTTACCTCTCTCCCTCCCTTTCCTCTCCCCTTCTCTACCTCTCTTTCCTCTCTCCTCTCTCCCAAACTCTCCCTCTCTTTCCTCTCCCCTTCTCTACCTCTCTTTCCTCTCTCCTCTCTCCCAATCTCTCCCTCTCTTTCCTCTCACCCTCACTACCTCTTTTCTCTTTCCCTCTCTACCTCTCTTTGCCCTCTCCTTCTCTTTCCTCTCTACCTCTCTTTCCTCTCATCCCTCTCTACCTCTCTCTTCTCTCTCTCTTTCCTCTCTCTCCTCCCCTCCTCCCGTCTTCTCCCCCCTCTCCTCTCTGTCAGATCTCACCTGCATGGAGTAGTTGGCTCCCACTTTGACCAGGTTTTTGACCAGCTCGGCAGTGTGCTGGAAGTGGATGTTCGCTGCAAAACAAATCAAAGCCGTCAGCACAAAATCCACACTCAATTCCAACAGCGGCGCGAGAACAGACACAAGAAGAAGAAGAGAAAGAGGAGAGAAAGAGACTCTGGAACACGCACAGAATCACTTAGGCCCAGGCCGGCAGTAATTTGTACACTACTATACCTCCAAATACTTCCAAACCGGTATATCTGTATGAGCCTTATTCTACACAAGACTTTTGTCACTAGAGACGGAACAAGAACTGAAATATCAAAATTATACTGTTCCAATATATTAAATTATACTTTTTGGCTTAAATACATTGTTTTGTGGCAACAGCAGTTAAAAAAAACAGATTAAACTACAAATACCATGATCCTCTGCTACATCACAGAAACACCTTGAAGAAATAACTGTTACAAAAAACTTTTCTATTTACATTTTTTGGATTATGATCATGCCCAGGCTTTTTCAAATTTAAAAGTATCTCTAGAATATTGGAATAAATATCGTATTGTAAGATGGATATCGTGACAATATTGTACCGTGAGATTTGTATAGGCGAGTTTCATCGTTGACAAAGTTGTGCGTTGCATGCTGGGAATTATTTTGGTCGGCGGCAATAAACACGAATTCAACATGACGGAGGGAGTGAGAAAGCACGTAATTGGTATTGATCCCGGTTATTTATCCACTCTAACGGCAGAGGACCGAAGACGATTTGACCAGAAAGAGCATCGATGGACGCCAAATCACCCTTTTCAACCCCTACAAAAGTTGGACCAAACCAAATTTCTGGTCGGAATCGCCAACTACCTGGACAAATATTCACTTCGGCGATATCCACAATGACTTGGTGGAAACTCCTGGGCCATTCACAGCAGAAAAGATGAAAACCTCCAAGAGTCTCGATGTGTTGTTGAACTTGTTGGAGTTCACGGTTTGTTAGGATCTTCTACGTTTGCTCTGCGAATGTTTGAAAGCCGTTTAATTCACCGTTAGTGGTTCTTTTCACTCAGAATACGAAAAAGACATTTTACTTCTTCTGTGCTTCTGTTTGTGCATCCGATAATGCAGCAGGAATTTACCATTATGGGGGACAAATACGCGAGGTTACGCACTGTGTTTGACCGCTATCGTGTTTCTTGCCTCCGACCAAAATATTTCCCAGCATGCAACGCGGGCTTTTAATAACAATGACGTCAGCTGAAACTCGCCTATATTGTTTATCGTCCAATTTGTCACTTGAATTATTTTGAGATTTGAATCATATCCTGATTCAAACTGTATCCTGAACATTTCTAAACTAAACATACATTATATCAGGCTGGTAATAAAAACAGCACGACTCATTAGTGAGCTGCATCAAATATTTAATTTTATTCTGATGCTATTCTTTTTTCACATTCACATTTGCATTTATATAGATTTAAAAATGACAATATCTGAAAAGTATATTGATGATACATGAAGTTTAGATGAGCGATTTAGATGAGCAAGATGTTTTTGTTTTTATTTTTCAGCACAGTTTATGCAAATTGGCCATGCGGTTTTAAGTTTGGTTTCTGTAAAATGTAAACAAATGTGACAAAGCTGCATTAAACACATTATAATGTCAAACAGGCTGATGTGTCTCCATAGTGGTTATGGTTTATATGTTGTAAAGTTGAGTTTATTTATGTAGAAGATTTTAATGCAGGGGTGTCAAACTCATTTTGGTCTGGGGGCTGTAACCAACCTATTTTGATTCCAGGGACCGGAAATAAAATAAAATAAAATAAAAAATAAAATAATGGCATATAAACCGCAAAAATAGCAATAAATTCTAATATTTGTGCAGAGAAAAGCAATTCTATTACGGAAATATTTTTTAATTGATGAACTCTTTCTTTTACAAAATATTACAATATTAAGACCAACCTGAACTTTAAGAAAAATGCAATTTCAACACAATGTTTTAAAATTAACTTGTATGCAAATAGGAATAAGTCAATTTTTCTTGGAAAATCCTGCACTCAGAATCCACTTTCAAAACAACAGTCAAAACGATCGTCCTTTAAGAGCGTTTGGAAAGAGGCAAGTTTTCATTTGTGCTGCTCTGGTGGAAGGGGCCACACACAGAGACGCTGGAGACGCTACTATGCTAAGTAGCGCAGAACATTTCATTTTAATAGAAAATATAATTAAAATATTTTAGTAGAAAATCAGCCGAGGGCCAGATTAAAGGTCTTGGAGGACCGGATCCGGCCCCTGGGCCACATGTTTGACACCCCTGTTTTAATGAATAGTCTGCTACAGTGCAGAACTTGTACAATCGTGTTTGGAAACGTGGATCTGTGCAGTGGATCGTGGGATACGTCAAAGCTTCTTACCACTGGTTAGAACTTCCTGAGCTTCCTACGCTAAAGGAGCTCATGGTTGTTTGTATTTTTCCTGGTTTATTAAATATATATTTTTTGCACTTGCGCATTTGGAAGATTATGTCAAGAAAGCGGGATAGTGCATTTATAACCGGCATACTGATGTGCATGTAAACACACTAATACTAACACTGGACTTAAAAATGTACAATGACTGAGATGAATAAAGTTCAAGTGCTGAATATTGAGCTCTGTTTCTGCTGTCACTGTTCATAATTGTTGTGAGAAATCATTAACGTGATCAGTGTCTTCACATAGATGATTATCATGGATCATTATTAATAATGTATAACTATATATGTGTTATAAATGTGTTATTTCAGAAGAGAGTATCAAACTCGTCGCCCTTCATATGACTCAATACCCGTGAAGTAGCTCTCAGTTTCAAAAAGGTTGGTGACTCCTGCATTATACTGTAATATGTGAGCTACTGTGTCCAAGTCTTTTTCAATGTGGATTAAAAAAGTTCTGTCTAAATAGGTAAAACTTACTTTTCTGTAGTTTTCAGACATCATACATTTACTCCTACTTGATTAATATATTTGACAGTGTAACAGTACTCTTACTTGAATAAAAGTTTTGGTTACTCCCACTATCTCCAAGTGACAAAAGCTTTATGTTGACAAAACTTTGAACAATAAGCTGAACATTTGTGTTTCTTTCACTACTCCTCCACTTGTCATTTTTCAGATTTTTGTGTTCTGTTCTGTTAAAACACCAGATTTTGTGCATTTTGTTTTTTCCGACAACAAATTATAAACCAGATGTTATGTCATGACACTTGCTCTTTGCATAACTCTTAATTAAATAGTCATTTCTCCAAAACATTTTCACAATTTCGTGACTAATCTTGGAACACGACTTTGTACTTGTACTTCTACTTGAGTGATATTTAAAGTATTTTTACGTGAGTATAGTGCTAAGTTTCACCCACAACTGCATTTAGAAATATACATTGTCACATGGTTGCTTTTACTTGACTCTACTACTTTGAGTATTTGTAGTTGCAGTTTATTCAGAATAACAGTGAGAGTACAGAGTAAATAGTAACAGTAGTGGAGTAACGATTGTATTAGCAATATGTCAGTAGTAGCAAGTACTAATTAAAGTACACATCAGTTTTATAGTTAAAGAAGGAGGATTACAACAACAACAACATTATCATAACAAAATAACATATTTACTTCTCTGAAAGCAACATATTCAAATGTTCAGTTAGTTTAACCCTGGCACCTGAACTCTTGCATGGCTTTATCGATTTGTTTTTGTTATTTGGGCTGATTGGGACCTGATGAGTGCAAAAACAAAGACTTACATTTTTTGTCATTTTATGTTTTAATCATTTTGATGGAACGTAAAGTCACAATTGAATAATGATTTGCAAAAACTATGTATTAAGTGCCTGAACAACCCAAAATGTGTTATGTGGATGCCAGGTCCTAGGAGTCTACGATTGTATTTGATGCTCTGAATCTCCTTGCTCCCACATAAGTCACTCCCCATTCAGAGCACTATCACAACACAATCAGCAGCATCATTCCTCTAATCAACACATCACTGTGTATTACTTTTCTTGGACAAGATCATACAGCTAAATGTAAGGAGGGTTTGAATAGGGACTAGGAGAGATCACTACATTACTGAAACGTTCAGACATGTTTTTGATGAAGGAACAATGTTATAACATGGTAGATTGTGCCAAAAAGTGTATTTTGCTTAATACACCCACCCTAGTACATAGAAAAAAAGTAAAGTAAAGACGTCTGCTTCTTGTAGGGCCGGTGGTCTAAACTGCTAGCCTTTCAGATGGAAGTATCAGATATAGTTTTTTCATAGTCACAGTACCTCTGAGACACTCATTTTAGGCCAGTATAACAATACAATGTGATTGTACTGAGGTTAAAGTTGTACTTTTCCAGCAAAAAATACTGATTATAATGATGGGGGCCAGTTCTGTAGGAGGCCTGAGTGCCAACAAAAATCAGTCTGAGGGACACATTTGGCATTTTCCATTATATAAATGATGCATTTGTCTTTATATTATGTTATGTTGTCATGTATGCTGCTGTAAACATGTACATGTTTTGTCTGAAGAGTACTGACTTTACTTCTACTCGAGTAACAGTAGCAGCAGTACTCTTGCTTTGTCTAAACTCAAGCACAGACAGAGTTTGACTTTTATTCAGTTAGGCACTTGTGATCTTTTCCTTTGGTAGCACATTCTCCTCATTGACTTTGTGATGCCAGTGACTCAGCAGAGATGATAAAACAGATCAAACTCTTTCATTTTGGTTATAGTTTCTTTTCTCACCATCTGCTGTCCCGTGCACCAGCATCAGCGTCTGATCCCGGAAAGCCTGGGCGTTCTGCAGTACACTCGAAAACTAAGACACAAAGATTAGGCAAAAATCCATTAATAATTCAGCCTAATACAAACTAGTACAACTTTTCTACAACGACAATAACAAATAGTCTGCATTTTAATTTGTTTTTGAAGAGCCTCATATTACGCTATTTTCTGACAAACAGACCTGGAGTTGTGTTTTGTTACATTCATTCAAACATGTGTGAGTGAATGACAGAAAACACAACTCCAGGTCTGTTTTTGAGGAGGTAACAACTTTATAACATGGCTTAAAGCTCACAAGAATTCATTTTGGGTAATATACGTAGGACCTTTAAGCGTTTTACTATTTGGTTATATTTTAGTTTAAGCTGGAGTGGAGGAACAGATGACACTGTATGGAAAATTCACTATATTAAAGGTGCAATATGTAACTTTTTTGGTGAAGGGAATCTCTTTGTCTCCATGGAGATGTTATTGTTTTATGTTCCCCAGTTCTTGGAGAGGGTACGCCAGAAACCAGTCTCCATGTAGATTAGTGTCCTGCACCGGGTTTGGTCATCTCGGGTACCCGACCCAGCAGATTTAACGGGCGGGTATGTGGGTGGACACATGGGCAGGTCAGGACTAAACCAGGACTAAAACAGGACTAAACCATTACTACATCAGGACTAAACCAGGTCTAAACCAGGACTAAACCATTACTACACCAGGACTAAACCAGAAGTAAACCAGGACTACGCCAGGACTAAACTAGGTCTAAACCAGGACTAAACCAGGACTAATCTTGGACTTGAGAGAGAACCCCTGGAGCAGGGTGGACCTGCCCTGACACTGTCCCGACAGTCAGTCCTGGTTCAGATCTGGTTTTGTCTTGTTTTAGTCCTGTTTAGTCTGTGGTGTGTTAGGCGCAAAAGTCCGGCATCTCACCATCATCAATGTTTCAATGTTTCTTCCGCTCAATAAATAACACCTGTGAAGTGATGACGGATTTCTGACAGTAGAATCACATCTGTGAATTTGTATTCATACTAAAGAAAGCATAACCGTTTAATTTTATGTCGTGATTATAATTCTTGATGTGGTAACTTTTCAATTCACATTCTGATGGATAAAATACACACAGTACATTTTATTTAAGACTGGACTCATTCGAGAGTTTATGAATATTTATATTACGCTCAACTACAGACAAATATGCACAGATTTCTATCCTATGACCATGAATATTTCTGAAAGCTTTCTTACTCCAAAATATTGCCTATTCAAACCACCTATTCAATTCTCATTTAGCGTCGTTTGCTGAGAGGCGCATCGGAAAAAAATAAAGTGCTTCAGTTAGAATGCTTTTAATTTGTGTGTGGTTTGGTCATGGGCGGGTAAAAGGTGGAATGTTAACAGGTCCAAGCGGGTGCGGGTTTAACTTTGATATAATCTCGGGGTAACGGGCGGGTTTGGTGCTGTACTGAGAGGGTGCGGGTGCCAGCGGGTGCAGGTCTCCAAAAATGGACCAGTGCAGAACTCTGATGTACATGTACTTAACTGTTCAGCCTGGAATGTTTCACAGTAATGCATTAAACGTATCTATCTCCGTGGAGACAAGCAGGCCAATGTACAGATCAATTCGGTGGAGAGGTAAGTCTGTTCACACAAGAATTCATGGACTTAAAGGCATTTTAGAACAATAAAATCACCTCCAGTGAAACAAAGGCTGAATAGAGTTTGAATCCCATACTGTGGAACATACAAAAACATACAAAACATTTAAAAAGTGGCATATTCTCCACCAGAAAAGTTACACAACGCACATTTAATAAAATATTATATCTTTGAAAGGAAAAACAAATCAAAACATCCACCAGAAATATCCCACTTGTACCTTTGCTTCCTTTTGTTCTGGTATTTTTGACATTTGTGATAAAATAATTCTGCTCCTCCTGCTGTTTCTTTCCAGCTGATTTAACAAATGCACGGTTTTACACTAAAGATCGGCTCTATGTGGGAGGCCTATGCTACATGCTCAAAGCTGTGAAGAATGACAGAATCCTACAGAGAGAAGGAGACGCAGAGGAGGAGGAGGAGGAGGAGGAGGAGAGGAGGAGAGACGGTTCGGGTTTTGATGTGTTTTGATATGTAGATGGTAGGACACAGTAAGAACATGTCTTTAAACGGCGACACAGATAAAAGCGTGTACCTGGTATCGGCTGTCGTCTCGTAGCGGTAAACCCAGGTATCGCTCTGAGAAGGCGGAGGCTGAAAAGAAAGAGAAGGGGGAGGGGACAGTGAAAGAGAGAGAGGGAGATAGACAGAGACATAGAGAGGGAGGTGAAGATGGCAGTGTGAGTCAGATATTGCATTGGAACAAGACACTGCCTTTCAGAGATTATTTTAAGGTTCTGTACCTGACAAAATGAGTTCAAATTAGATGCCAATTTTGCAATATACCTGTACAATTTAGTTTCAAATATATATACCAGCGGTGAGGACTTGCATGTCGTGATTTGGACTTGAGTCAGACTTGAGACACTATTTTTAGGATTTGAGATTTGACTTGATAAAATGGACTAAGACTTGGGACTCGACTTGGACTTAAAGGTCAGTGAGTTGGGACTTGACTCGAACTTGAGCTCTGTGAGTTGAGAAGACTTGATGCTTCTCCTAAAAATATATGTTTTTCAAAAATACTTTTCTCTTTACATTTGATAAATGCGGTGCAGAATTTTACAGGAACAAACTGGAACACGTGTCCCACTTCTGTTTGTTACTTTGAGTGGAACTGAACTACTGTGATTTGGTATCCTCAGATGTACTACAGTAATACACAGTACAATACAGTACAATACACTAATATAATGTACAATACAGGAAAACAAGGATATTAAGGACTATACAAAATTACTATATAAAACATGATCCATCCATTTCCATGCAGACTACCCGATAAAATAACTGTTATTTAGCAATTTTAAATCTTAATTCTGTCTGTTCTCACCATAATGATTCACACTAAGATCTTGTCAAGACATTTAAAAAGGAAAAAATAGCATTTCTGCAACTCTTATATAAATACTCATATATAAATATACCATGTGCAACCAGGGTAAAATTCAATCCCATTATCCAGATCCAACCCAGGTTTTTCCCCACGCCACATGACTTGTCACCACCCATCACCCCGCCCATTTCACCAATTATCCAATCACACGTCACCAGTCAGAGTATATAAGGTCCCCTGACTTGTCTCTCCTCAGTTGTGGGATAGAATCAGGGGACAGAGCTTTGAAGCTCACTACATCTACACTTTTTCATTTCAAATTCTCATGTTTCCCGTTTTTAACTTCACCATTCACACCTTTTTAGAACCAGACCCATTGTGTGACATTGTCATGTGTGCTGGGCATTTCAGTACATTGAACCAATACTGAACTGATAAGTTAGAACTGAAACCAATTTATTATTTATTTAATGACTTTATTCTTGTTGGCTTTTCATGCTGGTGCTAATGCTAAGGTCAACCATTTTGTCAGGGCCCCATGTCCTGCTCCATGTAGCCCATGTCAATGCTGGTTAGATTAGCATTAGCATGCTAACAGCTAGCATGCTCATGCTAACATGTGCTCCAAGTGATCGGTTTGTAATCTTATGACAGATTGTGACTTATGAACTCTTGTAATGTTAATGTTAATGTTAATGCTAATGCTAACTGTAAACATTATTATGTTCTAAGAGGCCTTTCTTAATGTGCACACAGGCCAGGTTGCCCAAACTTGGGTTTAATTTGATGGCGAGCCAGGAACTGTCCTTTTGAAAGAACTTCGGTCTGGTAGGAGGCTAACCACCTGTCCTCTATCTCCCACCTACTCCAGCTACCTCCACTGCTTAACTGTACAATCGACTGCGCTTGATGGACATCCATACCCCCTCAAAATAATTAATACTGGACTCTGAAGTAGCTTGGACTCCGTTTTCCACCCTGGGCAAACATACCCGGTCCACAAGGACGTTGAATTGATTGAGTTGCTTGATTTTTGTTTGCTGCAGCTGCTGTATATTTTGTTATCTCACTATTTTCCCTGTATAATACACATTATTCATTTTTCAATTTACTGCCCCTGCCTTCCTTGGATCTTCTGATATTCAACTCCGCTAATTACAGATAGAAGTCACAACAGTGTTATTACACGGTTATAAAACAGTAACAGACTTTTTAAGCAGATGACTTGGACTTGACTTGGACTTATAAGCCAGTGACTCGAGACTCAACTTGCATGGACTTGCCTGTATTTGAATTGGGACTTGACTCGGACTTGAGGTCAAAGACTAGAGACTTACTTGAGACTTGCAAAACAGCGACTTCTTGAAAATACTATGCAATTTATAAACTACATATAAATCGGCGTATAAACTTGTCGGCAACGATTCATTTTAATAAAGACTATTCAGTTATGTTAATGTTGCTGCACACTTGTAATGTGCTTTACAGCCTCTCAAAGCTCTGCAATGTCACCATTCATTTACTCCACACACTGAGGTGGTTAAATATACTGTACTGCCCTACAAAGGAAGAACGCTGTAACATATTTGGTCAAAAATGTGTCATTTGGGGGTGTTTGAGACCTCCTTTATTATGTGACTAAATATTGTGAAAAATATTGAGCTCAAAATTGACCTTTGACCCAAGGGTGCAGGTTTGCATAGGGATGGTGGGGACATGTCACAGCAAATATTTAGGGAAGACAAAATAGTCCCTACCAATATTTTGTATCTTATTATAATAAACACAAATATACATTTATTCAGATATTTTTCTAAACTCAGTAGTATTAATTGAACACGTTTTAGTTCACATTTTGTTTAATAGACATTCTGAGATGTATTCAGTGATATGATGACAGGGTTACTACTGCCACTTTGGCACATTGGCTGCAACAGAGTGATGTCATTAGTGGAGCTAGGAGCCTAAACTGGGGAAGCGGCAGGACAGGGCCAGCACCCAGGGCCAGCACCAGGGCCAGCACCCAGGGCCAGCACCTGAAGATGTCGGCTTGAGCAGGCGTGAGTGAAAACGGTGCAAACCAAACTTTGAAAAACTTTTCAAAAAACTTACTTGGCTTCATCTTCAGTTAAACTTGCCTTTTGATGAGTCACCGCGGAAAAAGAGCAACTATCACCACAAGTGCACCTCCCAAACGCAGCCCTACTCATGCACTGAGAGCAGCCCGACTCTACTGACAATATTCCACGGAAAAATGTACGGACATGACGTTGGGCACAATATCTCAAGCAAAGGGAAAGCTGCTACAAACTTCTACATCTCTTATCCGCTAAAGAATCACCTTGGAAGGGCAATGGACACAAACTGTACATTTTGTGAACTGAAAAATGAAACAACCTCTCACTTATTTTGGACCTGCCCTGTGTGTTTGGAAAGAATTCATAAAACATGGTTATATCGTTCTCACCATAGAGCTTCCAGTCTGTCACAGGGGACATGGCGCAGGCACATTTGAACAGACTGTCTGTGGACTTCATCAGCATCAAGGCCAGGTACGCGCCGTAACCCTGGAAACAACACACATTCACAGAAAAGATTCAAATTATAATTGAATTTAGGAAATGTATTGCAATATTTACCAATGTTTCTGCTGTTTGGCATACATATATCTATAAGTAAAATTATTGTTATAAGGCATGTCTGTCTGGTTTTGCTAGAAAATGTTAAAATAAAAAACAATCAAACCAAAAAAAAGCAAGTCTGAGATTCCTTAAAGATCCTGTGTTACGCAAAATTGACTCCTATGAGCTTTAAGCCATGTTAGAATGTTGTTGCCACATTAAAAACAGACCTGGAGTTGTGTTTTGCCTCATTCACACATGTTTGAGTAATACTTTATTAATAACCCTTCCAGAACTAAGGGTGATTTTAGTACATTATTCCTCACCTGGATTTTTTTTTCTTAATTTTGCTATTAAAATTATAGGACCAGAAATACAAAGAAAAAAAGTAACAAAAAAAACCCCTGAAAATAAAATTCACACTCTTTTATACAAAGCACACAGCAAACATGTATAAACAACTTGAATGTTTAATTTAGAACCTTAGCTACAAAAGTGCAAAATATCAAGTCTATAACTAAACTAAAAATGTCCTTATTGGCCTCAAAACAACAAAAAAGTGCAATGGCCGCATGACTTTCTTGCCAGTCACTTCCTGCATTTCCATCTTGTATATTACATTTGGATTTGTACATTTGGAGTGAAATAAACCTTTCAAATAAAATAGCAAGGGATGCATAATTACGCAGACCAAGATGCATAATTTGCCATTTATTTGAGAAATAACTGCACTTAGACCAGATTTTTCAATTGTTATGAACACAGACACTCAGAGCAGTCGACCATTTTGACTCACTACACTCTTTGGCAAAGTTTGGGCCAATCAAAATGGATAGAGCAGACATGTTTGGCGGAAAATAAAGTTCCTATTGGGCAGTTGTTTTCCCCACACCATCACTCAACTGTCAACTTTTCAAGGAACAAAAAGTTTCTATCTTTCATGGCTGAAAAGTTATTTTTAAAGTTAACAACTCCTTTTACCTTTTGTTCAGTAGAATTCAATTTCAAAGCTAAAATCATCCAAATGTCTCTAGTGAAGGAGTATGGAGTTTAAAAACACAGTGGAGCACTTTCTAAATTACAACATGACATCAGGTGGACCTGTTTTCAGTTTGTGAGCTCAGCCTAAATATGCAGGATCCGTTTGGTTTTGTTTTGCTTCATTCATGTCTAACAAACTAAACTCATGTACTGTATGTTTCGCATGAGGAAACTTTAGAACACAGATCAGAAAACAGCATAATAATGGCTCTTCAAATCTATATTTTCCATTATCTTCTATAAAAAAACAGATACAAATACAATATCCCATTAAGTCTCCCTGATTACAATTCACAAACACTGGCAATTATACCTTTTATTTAATCATAACAGCATAAACCCGTGTTATCTTGTTTGCATTATAAAGCACCTCGATACTTCACACAAGCGGAAGTACACAGCCTGCAGCTATGACCAGTATAATGTATGTGAATAAATTAGACAGAATCCACCTAATCAAGGACCACAGCTCACCTTCCCAAACAGCGCTATCCTTGTGCGGTCGATATATGGAAATTTCAGCATGTACCTGCAAGAAAACACACGAAATGTTATAAGGCCGTGGTTAAAATGCACGCATAGGTTTCATATGGATGGCTTGGCACTGATAATAAATAAAACATGTTTTTGCGATGACTTTCAGCTAATGAGGAAATGCATTTATTCAGCCAATATTGGAATATGCTTTCGATGAAAAAAAATAAAATAAAAAATCCACTCACGCTTAGATGTGTTTGAATGTTGCATAAATGTTACAATAAGGAACACTCTCATTGACTTAATTTGTGTTTTTGGGAAATAATACTACTCCAGTTTGGAATTATTTTGCATTTTGATATTTTGTGAATCTCAAAATTTGAATTTGTTGATTTGATTGGGTATGATTGCGTTAGGAAAGCTTTCAGAGGTAGTCATCTGAGTACTGTTTTTAAAAATGAAAGCATTTCGACTCCAGAATCCAAACGCCATTACATTTTGGTACTGGTTTGAGACACTAGGGTTGATACTACAGTGAGCTGAATGCGTCCTGCCTTAAAAGGGAAGAATTTTAGACTGAAACTGCTCTGCTCTTGTTCTGGACCCTGAATTCTGGATAGGAACCTTGATTTCAGTAGCCAGGCTGGTGCCCCCTAGTGCCTCCACTCAATTTCACTTCTCTCCAACTATGTCAAGAATCGGAATAGAAGGTTCGCAAAAAAACTGAAAGTACAAGTTCAGGCACCAGCCAGTCAGAAGAGCCATACATTCTGTGACGTCAACGATTCCTGAGATTGAGGATTTAAAGCTGGAACAAGAAGAAGTAGTGAATGTTTGGTGAATTTTATCAAGGGGAAAGACATTATTGCCCTTCTTCCTACGGGATTTGGGAAAAGCTTAATATACCAGTTAGCCCCGTTAGTGGTGCATTACATAAGTCACGACCAAACAGCTGCGATTGTTTAAATAAAAAAAGTACCTGCCTACCGTCGAGTGAATGAATCCTAATGCTGTGAGGTCAGACAGTTTCCACAAAGTGAAACTGGCTGATGAATAAGGCTATGTTTTCAGATGACCACCTCTGAAACCTTTTGTGATGGACTCCTGGATGTCTCAGATGATTATAGTGAACCAAAAGTTAGAAATGTACAGTAGGGTACAAGGTAGGTCTGTGAATGTACTGTGCATGGAAAAGAGAGTTCTTATATTAGGACTTTTAGTGTGTAAAATATGCACATACCAAAACTGGCAAGATTTATTGGCAGATTTGAATATTAAAGATTAGGCATGCATTGATCATGATCAAAAATACACTATCTGAACCCTTATCCACCTTCATTCTTTAAATACGTTTAAATGTGTCTCTATTCACACTTACGTAACAAACAAGGAAAGATGTGATGACAACTTCCAGTGTATTTAAAGACTATAATGGGCTCGCTGACCGACGCATACATATGTGCGGTTTGAAATCATCTTAAATTTGGTGCCTTATCTTTTCTCATCACATGGACCCAGTGCTCTCAGAGTTGTGTGTCAGTGGGGAAATTAAAATGAAGACTGAGGTGTGGGTGTAATTGTTGATTAGTTGAACATCTCGGAACACTCCAATGACAAGTGGATGAAGAAAACTGGGCCTGAGAAGTTGTCATTGCATCTTTCCAAATGTCTTCCTGGTTTGTGACGTAAGCGTGAATAGAGCCTACAGGTAAATAAGGCAAATTTAGCATTTTTGGGAAGTTAAAATAAACAAAACAGAATTTTCGGTTTGACCATTGTGTTTCCTCCTCCATGCATTTGCATCTCTTTAAAGATACTGGTGTGTTTTTGTAGTGATCTCTAACTGTATGTTAAAATGTGTGGTGGTAAGTGTGCAGACTCACTCCACGGCAGTGATGTGGTCGTGCAGGTCCACAGTGCCCAGCCTGTGGTGCAGCTCATGGAGGAGTCTCTGTCCCTGGAATCCACTGCCCCGGGCGTCCAGACGAGCCACGATCACACTGTCGGAGCTGACCAGCACAGAGTCCCAGCCCAGAGAGAAGAGCTCACTCACCGCCTGACCACCGGGGGCGCTGTCACTGAACACAAGAAGAGGGACAAGAGGGAGGATATGTAAGTGTTTGACCACAGGTAGCGACACTGTGCAATAAAAAGCTATACATGATAAACTCATTGACTGTAAAAAGAAGGGAGTGTGACGTCAGCAGTAGAGTGAAGTTTATCAAGGCTGGCAACAGAAGTGGAACCAAGTCATTGTTTTGTCAGTCTCAAGTAAGTCTCAAGTCTTTGACCTCAAATCCGAGTAAAGTCCCCAGTCAAATACAGGCAAGTCCAAGTCGAGTCTCGAGTCACTGGCCCATAAATCCAAGTCAAGTCCAAGTCGTCTGCTTTGAGCTTCAAGTCATTTCGAGTCTTTAAACCAAAGTACCAGATTTTTGCAATTTATATGACTTTGAAAGTAAATTGTACTTAAAAAATCATGGTATATTTATATATGAGTATTTATATAAGAGTTGTAGAGATGCAACTTTTCCTTTTAATTAAATGTCTTGACAAGATCTTAGTGTGAATCATTACAGCCAGAATAGAAAGATTCAGATTTAAAAGTGCTTAATAAGTTATTTTATCAGGTAGTCTGCACGGAAATGCAGTTGTTTTACTGTATTGTACGGTACATTGCTGTATTGTACTGTATTGTACTGTAGATTACTGTAGTACATTTGAGGATACCACATCACAGTACTTCAGTTACATCCAAAGTAACAGAAAAAAGTGGGAGGGACATGTTCCAGTTTGTTCCTGTAAAATTAAACACCACATGTACCAACAGTAAAGAGAAAAGTATTTTCTAAAAACATACATATTTTTAAGGAGAAGCATCAAGTCTTCTCAAGTCACAGGCCTCAAGTCTGAGTCAAGTCCCAAGTCACTGACTTTCAAGTCCAAGTCGAGTCTCAAGTCTCAGGTCCTAAAAATAGTGACTCAAGTCTGAATCGAGTCCAAGTCGTGGCTTGCAAGTCCCCGCCTCTAACTGTCAGTTATAAAGGCACATTTGGAGATGAGTTCCAAAGCATCCAAAGAACCAATCTGAAGGGAGGCTGGTTTGGCAGGGTGTGGACGCTTAGTAACGCTGTCAATCAAACCTGTTCCTAACACTAGCAGGAGTGACAAAAGGCAGCTCCTTGGTCTGTTTTTTAATGTTCATATCTTGATTTCTGGACAAAATACTGAGATAAACCCCATTATCATGTAGAGTGGGTTATAAATATAAACATTTTAAGACCAAAATGATGAGTCTGCCGGCAACAGTTAGATAGAACAAGATTTCATGCCACATGAAGAAAAGTATTACTTATTTGACTCTACATTTGGCACGAATGAAGCCAGTTACGTATAGATACATACATGATAAACAGGAGTCCATAGTGTCTTGAGTCTGAGAAGTCTGGTGGGTATGAGATCATCAACGGTAAATCTGTAAAGACAAAATAACATCACCGTGAATGTGTTCTGACAATAGAGAAACATTCAATTTCATTTCACTTTCACTTGAGAACTCACCAAAATGTTCGATGGGCACAGTTCTGAATTCAGTCAGCTGGATCCTCTTGTATCTGAGAGTGGCCTTCAGAACAGAGTTATTCTCCAGGATGTAGTAGTCTGAAAGCACAAGGAGGGAACATCAACAAATTGAACTCACCTATTTTTAACATGAGAAATGGGTTATACAAGAATTCCTGACTCTTAGCAAGAAGGTCCCAGGTTCAATTCTCTGGTCAGGTGTGGATTTTTTTGCACAGAGTTTGACTAGAGTACGCTTTCGGTTCGATACGATATAATTCAAATCAATTCGATACGGTTCAATAAAAAAATAAAGGCTAAATCATGGCTGGGATACTAAAAGTCTTTGTTAAACCACTTCTTGCGCAACGTTCATATGAAACACACCCATTTTAATCAATCATCAAAAATACTCTTGGTGATATATCGATACAGCAGTCCTTGATACCGATGCTGTATCATCACGTTAAACAATAAGATATATTGATATTTTTGCACACCCCTATTTATAATGTTGTTGCTGTTACGGCCCCAGGCCTTACTTCTAATTTGTTTGTGTGATTTTTGCCAAGTTCTCTTGATTCCTGCTGCAGGAGCCCTGGTCCGTGATTGGTGGGGCAGGTCGACGCCCACCTCACCTGCAGCTACTTCCCCCTATTTAAGGAGATTACCAGCACCTGTTCGGGGCTGCTGGCCTTGGTGGCCAGTCTGTCATTTTGTGTTTGTGTGTGTAGTTTTGTTTTGTTCTGTTTTGTGCCTTTTTTTGATTTGGTCACTCGATTCTGTTTGTGGGTTTATGTGGTTTAATTTGGGGAACTTGTGTTTAGTTTCGTGTGTGTCTCTTGATTTTACCAGTCGTTATTATGTAAACCTGCATGACCCCTTTTGTGGCACAAAACCTGTTGTCTGTAGTTTTGTTTCTTAGTTTAGGTTATTTTCTGTATATTTTAGTCTCTTTTGTTAATTTACCTTTTACATTCCTGTTAATTAAACATTATTTAATTTATTCCATTTTACATCTTGGTTTTATTTTTTGTTACTTCCCTCACCCCAAACGAGCTGGGTCGTAACAGTTGCCTCATCAAAAACAGACCTGGAGTCGTGTTCTCACACATTTGAGAAGCTCTTTGTTATTAGTCTGTCTGTATCTTCAAAGCTCAGAATGCTCTGTTCCACCTTCTGATGTCATCAAGGAGTATTTTCAAGATAACAGCTACTTTTTGCTTTTAGTTCAGTAGAGACTGACAATTCCAGGGCTGAAATCATCCACATGATTGTAGTGAACTTGTATGGAGTTTAAAAACACAGCAGAGCACTTCCTGTATTACCACGTGACCAGAGATGGAAAAAGTACTGAAAAACTGCAATTAAGTAAAAGTATCTTGTACTTTAATTCCTGGTCAAGTAAAAGTAAAATTAACCATCTAAAAATCTACTTGAGTAAAAGTAAAAAAATACTTCATTTAAAATGTAATTTGAGGAAAAGTTACTTAGTTATTTCCAATTATTTGATGTAAAAAAGGATGAGTCATAAATCTAATCCAGCACAAGTGATTTTAATCAACTTTTAGGTGATACAGTGCAAACTTTGTACATTTTAAAGACAGCTAAGCTTAACCAGGACTATACCAGGTTCAAACCAGGACTATACCAGGTTCAAACCAGGACCAAACCAGGACTAATCCAGATCCAAACCAGGACCAAACCAGCAATAAACCAGGACTGAACCAGGACTACTCCAGAACTAAACCAGAACCAAGCCAGGATTAAACCAGGACCAAACCTTTGTATATATATATATATATATCAAGTCTAAGACATCCAAGCTGAGTTCAGTGGTACTGAGTCTACTGCACAAACAGAGCCAGAAAACACAAAACCATGATATAATTTTGATCATTCTGATCAAAGAGCCTCCCGTGCATGATACAATGACCCTTTTCCACTCAACGGCCCACAGTGAAGTGGGACTATGAGGGAAAAGCTAGATCTATTCTAAACCCCACGGCCCTGTGTTCACAACAGGTGTCCTGTCGATTGGAGCTCCCGAGGCAAAAGTGGAGTAACAAGTAATGTTTTAAAAGTGTACTGGTTTTATATGACACCACGAGTGTTTTCTGTTTAAGAAAATAACTCAACCTGAATATGCAAAGTTTGTGTGTTATGTGTGAATGAAACAAAACAAAACTCCAGATCTGTTTGTGATGAGGAAACAACATTAGAACATAGATCAAAAAATAATGTGATTACTCCTTTATCCTATACCAATTCCTACAAAATCTGTAATTTGGATTTATTTTATTTTAAACAAAATACTTGTGTGGAGTGGTCATTAAGCTATGTCGTCTTATGTATGTTCCTACCAGAAAATAATATTGAAAATAAAAACTGGAGGCTTGAAATACAACTTTGTCAACTGTGAAATGCACAATTTCAAATAATCATACTGTTTTTCACCATTGGACTCCAGCTGGTTTCAACTCACAAATAATTTCTCTCATTTTCTGGCTATTTTTCACAAGGGAAATGGAATTGGTCCAGCATCTCTTAATGGAAAACCCCAAATGGATCTTGGCCTCATTATAAATAGCTGAGGGCATTGAGTTCCCAGCTGTGCAGAGTGCCCCAGCCAAATCTCCCCAGGCAAAAAGCACACTCCAGCTCACACATGTCAGAAACACCACTGCTCTATGTGCGCACTCTCCACATGAAGCAATCAAGCACAAGTATGCAAATGGGAGATTTTAGGGTATTTTTAGGGCACATTTCTCAGACTGGATTTCACATATATAGTATGATGAAAATGAAATGTCAGTATTCACTGCTCAGTTCATGTAGTCATTAGTTTTTGCCCTTCATACTTTCTCATGAATGTTTTATATGTTCATGCCATTAACTACTGATGGATAAGACTAGCACATTAATGCAGGTGAGGTTGGTGAAGTGCCTTGCTAAAGGAAACAACAATCGTACGCAGTGATAGCAGGAACTGAACCTGTGTTATCTGGAGAAAATCTCTACCAACTGTATTTCTGATGTTAGATCTTTATATATATATTTTTTAAGTACCTGCCAATACACAATCAACCCATTCAAGGGCAGAGAGACACACAGAAAATTAAATTGATTTCCTTTAAACACAGCATAAGGTAAAAAATGATTAAATGTGTTTTGTAACTACTTTGTAAAAATCCGAGTTTAATATGATGAAACATTTTTGACCAATAAATCGAGTTATTACACCAGTTTATAGACCAAAATGGAATATTGGATGAACTGATATTTTCAATAGCCCATCTACCAACATTGTCAATATCAGCACAGATATCCGATATCAGTATTGTATCGGTTCATCCCTAATTACTATTCACTAATAAGGACCACACATCTAGCCACGTTGGTGCCACCTAGTGCCTCTGCTCAATTTCATTTCTCTCCAGGGACTAGGTCAGGAATCGGAATACACTAGACGGTTTGCAAGAAACTCGGAAGTTGTAGACCATGCACAGGCCAATCAGAAAAGAGCTCGTCAATCCAAGACTGGATCCCAGACCCAGCAGAACAGTAAACAAAGCGGTCAAGGTGGGTGTAGCCAAAGCCATACATTGTGTTGGCATCGAGGATTTAAAGCCGTAACAAACAGAATATTGCCCTTCTTCCTACGAGATTTGGGAAAAGCTTAATATACCAGTTAGCCCCGTTAGCTGCACATTACATACATCATGACCAAATAACAGCCATTGGTTAAATAAAAAAAAGTACCCGCCTACCATAGAGTGAACAAATTCTAATGCTACGAGGTCAGACGGTTTCCACGAAGTGAAACCGGCTGATGAATCTGGCTACCACGCCACAACAATGGAATACAATAAAGTTATTTATTGACGGTGGATAGAGCTGATCATTGGGGGTGACTTAGGGTGGGGGTATAATCTCCAATCCAAAATGGTCACACATCTGAATTGGAACCTCTCTTCCACCTTGACGATGCGGTCTTTGGCCTGAGAGAGAGCGCTAACACAGATGGTGTTGTCGGGAAAGGCCGTATAAATAGGGCTTCTGGGTAATTGAAGGCGTGGTTGCGATAAGCTGTGGTTGGCTGAAGTGGAGGTTGAGACCTGGTCCAGCTCCTCAATCTCAGTTACTGTATTTTTCGGACAATAAGTCATACTTTTTTTTCATGGTTTGTGTGATCCTGCGACTTGAGGGGGCGCTCTAGACTTGTGTGCCAGTATCTGCTACTCCTGTTAGTCCTGTACCACTGTCACTTCGCATGCCTCCTGCAAAAAAAGCCACTGTAGTGCTGCAAGTAGTGAAATATTCAGCCAAAAACGGTAATTGAGCAGCAAAAAGAAAGTTTGGAGTGAGTGAGAAACTTGTGACAGACTGGTGGAAAGCAGGGTTATCATTTTTATTTTTTTTTTTCTCTTCTTCATTAAGCTTTTTTTTTTTTTTTTTTTGCTGGTGCGACTTATACTCTGTCATATTAAGTCCACTTACTACTATTTTAAGAGCATTTTTGACCATGTGTTTTCACGTCAATTCAAATTTACAGTATCATCTTCAAAGTCTTAAAAAGCAAAGCGACTCTATTCATGAAATTACTTCAAAATCAAAATGATGATATTTTAAAACATGAACTTGTAAATCCATTTGTGTATTTTTCCCATTTATTTTGACTTGAGTCCAAACACACTGTGAATAATGCTTAGAGAGAAGAGAGAAGTGGACAGTAATGTGTATTTGTGAGGCAGATTACTGGGCTAGTCTCCGGGGCTCCAATGGGAAAACCCAATTAGATGTAGTGGAGTGTAAAGGCACTACAGTGTAATAGACTAGGCCTCAACTGCCACATCAATCACAATTTAGCCGCTAAAACTAACAAGCTCCACGCTCACATTTTATGCCTAAATACGAGAACTCGAGGCGGCTACAACTGGTTTTGTCAGTGGCAGCTTTCACAGTGGTTTAGCGCAACAGGTGGTGAGATGCGTCCGGGCAGCTGGGGTGGTAATTGTATGTTATACAGAGAAATGAGCAAATGGAGAAGGATCAATCAAAATACAGTCGGGAATGAAACATGTAGGCAAAGCTTTGGTAACTGGCTGTTTGGTTTCTGTATAATTCTCATAATGCATTTGTAAAAGCAGGTGCTTGTAAACAGATATTTTGTAAAACTACATGGTTAAGTTGAGAAATTGAACCCGGGACCTTCTTGGAGTGAGGCGAGAGATTTAGCCACTGTTTAACCAAATCTGAAGTGACAAATACGAAGGATGCCATAGAAACCTTAAAATGTATATAAAAATGTGTAATACACACTTTTTATGTTACGTTATTGACATTTCTTATTTCTAATTTGACTATTGTATGAATTTAAGAATACAGACTAACCAACCAATCAGAATTACCACATAAACTTACCGGCGTGAAGTTGGCCCCCCATCAAACGCAAATCAAATCTAAATCACAAAAGCTATGTTAATCTTTTTTTTTTTTTTTTTTTTTTTTTTTTGTGCTGAAAAGTGTTTTGTTTTGTTTGTGCTTCTTTAGTTTTTGAGATATTAACAATTCTTTTATAGGTCAGATTGGGGTCAGCCAGCTCCCAGGAAGCTTCAAAATGCTCTAAAATAGTGTCATTTGTTTGTGCTTCATTTGTGCTGTTTTGTGCTGCAAAAAGTTTCATTTGTGCAATTATAGTTCTTGAGATATTAGCAGTTTTATTTTCAGCCGATGATGTCATCCAGTAGCCAGGCTGGCGCCACCTAGTGCCTCCGCTCAATTTCATTTCTCTCCAGCGACTAGGTCAGGAATCAAAATACACTAGACGGTTCGCAAAAACCCCGGAAGTGCAAGTTCGGGCACCAGACAATCAGCGAAGAGTCATATATTCTGTGTTGTCAACGATTCCCGAGATCAAGGATTTAAAGCCGGAACAAAGAGAATGTTTGGTGAATTTCATCAAGGGGAAAGACGTTATTGCCCTTCTTCTTACAAGATTTGGGAAAGCTTAATATACCAGTTAGTCCCATTAACGGCACATTACATATGTCACGACCAAATAACAGCCATTGGTTAAATGATAAAAAGTACGATAAAGTAAGATAAAACGTCAGATGGTTTCTACGAAGTGAAACCGGCTCATCCAGCCACTCAAAATGTTAAATAGCCTCAAAACAGGCAGAAAATGATATGAAACTTTGTAATTTTCATTTGTGCGAGTATATAAAAAATTGTAATTATGAATTATTATTTTTGTGGAAATTATATGACGTCATTTCCACTCAGCTGACGGCAGCGGCTTTAGCAAAACTAGCAAAACAAAACTAGTGAAGAGAAATGATCTCAGGAAATGTACGTATCAGTCTTTAGTAACTTGCTTTTGATACATTTTTTATATAATAATACAGACTTTTCCACAGCCTGAGATCATTTATCTTCACTAGTGTTGCGGAGTTTGCCACTGTCAGCCGAGCGGAAATGTCAACATATAATTTCCACAAAAATAATAATCATTTTAGAAATATACTAGCACAAATTAAATACAAACATTTCATATCATTTTCTGCCTGTTTTGAGGCTATTTAACATTTTGAGGGGCTGGATGACGTCATCGGCCGAAAATAAAGCTGCCAATATCTTAACAACCATAATTGGACAAATAAAACTTTTCGCAACACAAAACAGCACAAATGAAACACAAACGAGTGACACAATTTTGGTCAATTTTAGAGCATTTTGAAGCTTCCTGGGAGCTGGCTGACCCCAATTTGACCTATAAAAGAATTGTTAATATCTCAAAAACTAAAACAGCACAAACAAAACTTTCTGCAGCAAAAAACAACACAAATGAAGCAACTGACATAGTTTTTGTGTAGGTGTGCGTTTGATGGGGGGCCAACTTCATGACCTTTGCAGTTATGTGAAAGTTAACCATTTACCACTGGAAACAAAATATACTGTACAGCACAATGCATATTTTTAAAGTTGCTTTACGTAACTTTTTTGGTTGGGGGGGGGGGGGTCTGTCACCTTCTTATTTCTATGGATAAGTCATTGCTCTGCCTTGAATGTTCCACAGTATTACTTTAAAAAGCTCAACCTGACAGTTATTAAAGGTTGTATAGAGGACTTTTTTAAGGGAAGAGAAATACAGCGACAGTCCTTGTGCACGACACTACCTTCCTCCTCCACATCTCCCTCAGTAGAAACACCTCCTCCCGCCTCTTTACTCTAAAAATCACGCTTGTTTACAGCCAGTGCGCGTTCAGAATTACTGTTGAAGTGACCTGTCTAGAAATAATTTAGCAACCGATGCATCAGTTTTTAGACCCTTTGTCCGCTTCAGTCGCACCATCGCTGGAAGGAATCTCCAAGAATCACCTCAGATTGACTTCGCTCCTTTTCTCCTTCTCTTCTTCTTTCAGCGACCTCAAAAACGGACTTTCTTTGGCGGCGAACTGGTTGTGGATTCTCGTCCGTCATTGCAACAAACTTTGTGCAAAATGCGAGGAAGCTACAGTTTGAAAAAGCCTCCAAGAACCTCTGCATAAACCACGTAATCCCCACACACCTGCAAGTCAGTTACACTAGGGAGTTTGATTGACAACCTAACAGCCAATAGAAAATGAAGTAGCCTTGTTTTCTATTGGCTGATGTTCATCTGGCCTCACTACGTCCACAGTTGATACATTTTCATTCTTTTTTGGTCATCATAATTACAAGGCTGCTACATCTCTGTAATGATATTTTAAACTTTCATTGACAATTTGAAACAAAACAAAAAAAATCCTCCATACAACCTTTAAATTACAGGTGGTTTTATAGGTCAAAAAGATCTAGCAAAACAGGCATTCTGACTGTGAACGGTGCCACTTGGTTAGGGGTGTGCAAAAATATCAAAATATCGATATATCGTATCGTTTAATGTGATGATATAGTATTGATATTGTGGGGTGCTGTATCGATATATATCGCTAAGAGTATTTTTTGGTATATTTTGTTTATTTTGTTACAACGCTACAGTTTTGTTGTTTGTTTAGTGGAAGGAAACTTGTGTATGCAGCACATTTCACATTTTCACTGTTTTGAGGAGTAAAATGTTTGTTTCATATGAACTTTGTGGTTTGACAAAGACTTTTAATGTCGCAGCCCTGATTTAGACATTATTCTTTATTGAACTATATTGAATCGATTTGAAATGTATCGTATCAAATTGTAAGATCACTGTATTGAGATATGTATCGTATCGTGGCCTATGTATCGAGATATGTATCACATTGGCAACTTCTTAATGATACCCAGCCCTAAACTTGGTCTAGTTTGGTCTCCATGAAGACAGAAAGGTTTAATACCATAATGTGAAACATTCCAGACAAAGCAATAATATTTCTATTGAAATTTGGCATTTGCTGGTTCCTCTATCAGAAAAGTTACACAATTCATTTTTTGATGAAATCAGTGGCTTTCATGTAACACCTTTTTACCTTTTTGTGTTGTTTTCAAAAAATACACTGTTTCTTGTTTTTTTTTTTTTTACCCTGCACAAGATTTAGACATGAAAATTCTGACACATTGTTCCTTTTTGATCCAGACAAAAAAACATCTAACAATATTTTTAAACCATGATTTGAGAGCTTGTTTTTGAACAAAGTGCCTGTCACTGTTCCTAATTTATGCTCATCATCGAGAAGACAATGACATGCTTCATTTTGGACTAAAAACAAGAGAGTGATAAAAAATACTTGGAACTTTTCTGTCTAAAAAATTTGAATTATAATTGAAATCAAGTTAATTGCTTTTGTGTTTGATTGCGCAGAAATGTGAATGCAAAACAATATATGATTAAAATGGTGCTTACTTGATGTATTGAGGCTGTGCAGGATGACAGTCGGAGCTCCGGGTCCTGGAAGAACAAGAAAAGGTACGTTATTTATTATTCACCTGCCAGGATATTGTGTTGAAAAGTAGTTGATGAAGCTGAGAGACATTTTGACTATTATCTCATGTATTTGTGGTTTATTCAAGAGTTACTGGAGCACACAATACATGGTAAAACACACACATTCATACACCAGAGTGCGCAGTGTACAGGGGGTGAGGTGGGTTAAGTGTCTTGCCCAATGACCTAACAGCAGCATTCATCTGTGGGAGCTGGAAACACACCTCTGACCTTCTGCGTCAGTGGATCTGGCCGCTGTGTCAATGATGTTTATGTCGAGAGTGGGATTTGAGTCGGCAACCTTCATATCAGTGGACAAATGATCTACCAACTGAGCTACTGTCTCCCCTAATGAATAAATAAATAAATAAATAAACGAATATATAAATAAGTGCCACATTTTTCGGACTATAAGTTGCACTTTTTTCATGGTTTGCGTGGTCCTGCGACTTATATATTAAAATTTTCACACTGACAGCCGGGACTGGTCTAGGCTTGTATGCCAGTATCTGCTACGATTACTCCTGTACCACTGTCACTTGGAGCTCTACTGTGCATGTCTCCTGCAGAAAGAGCCACTGTCCTGTCTGTATCATGTCAGTTGATTGCACCATTACTTCTGTAAGAAAACTGAACACAAATGAACAAATCATATTTTGCAGATTACAAGCTGCAAGTACCAAAATATGCAGCTGAAAACAGTAATGAAGCACTGGAAAGAAAGTTTGGAGTGAGCGAGACACTTGTAACAACTGAGAGGGTGCACCATGCAACTTTCCTGGAAGTCACTGGATAGATCGACAAAGCCTGGACTCAAGACTTGTCAAACTCAGGCCCAGGGGCTAAATTTGGCTCGTGATATAATTATATTTGGCCCGTGAGATCATATCAAATCTGTATTAGAGCTGCCCGCCAGCTACAAATAGGCTATAGAGACATTATTTATTTAAAATGTTGTTGTTTTTTATTATGCTTGTTCTGGATTCAATGTTAAAGCAAAACTATTATTAAATATTTATTTTAATAAGTTTAACATTACATATCTCGAAAGAAGAAAAAACATGTACTTGTTGAAATTGTTCAATAAATATTTTGTTTGGCCCATGACTTAGTCACAGTTTTTAATTTTGGCCCTCTGTGAATTTGGGTTTGACACCCCTGCCTGGACTTCAGTGACACCGAAACCATCCTGTCGGGATTCAGAAAGGCCAGAATAATTCTAGCTGGAACTGATGCTGAGTCTGACGACAGCTACACAGAAGAGGAAGCAACGCTCTGTTTACCTTCAGAGGTCGTAGAGTTGCTCAGAAGTGACAATGAGGATGAAGAATTCAATGAATTTAGTGATTTGGAGTGATTGAGAGTTTAATAAACTTGTTAGGTTCGTTGTTTATGCTACAGTGACAGCGACTTATAGTCTAGAAAATACGATAAACAACAATGAACCAGCAGCTTCCAGATGTTGTTGTTTACTGGCACTAAATTCGCAATAACAGAGTCAGTGAAGGGGCGAAGGTCAGCTTCTCTTGCTATACAGATAAAGGAATGTCAGATTAGTTTCACAGTGGTGTTTTGAAATGCATTTTACTTGAATAGATAAAACGTAATATGTTTTTAATAGAATTTTTGTAGAAGCTGAGCCTGTTACTTTACACCAGCTTAGCAGAAAGACGATGTAATAAAAATAAGTCCCCTGCCTGCTGTCTGCATCTAATTACAAAGCATTTCAGTGTCTGAGAATCAGGAAGTGTGCAGTTAGTGTGCTAGTTGTTGTTGTTGCTCTGCTCTGACCTCTGAGAGTTGTAATACGGGGAATGGTGAGGATGCTCTGAATGCATGAGGGAAGCGAGGAATAACTTTAGACCACTGCAAACTGTTTTTCAGATTTTTTAAGACAATAAAACTCAGGTACAGTGCCTTTAAGTTGAAGGTGCATTAATAAGTAATGTACTAAATGAGTCCTAGCCAGTAAATTTTTCTTCAATTTCACTTATTACCCCGTGCAGTTCTTTTATGGTCTATCCAATGGCCCTGGTCCACAGTTTGGAAATATCTTAAATATTAATACAAACTGCTATCATAAACTACATTCTAACAGCTGCCCAAACGCTGGCCCTTCTGTAATATACTATCTTTGTCCAACTACATTCATTCTGACCTTTACTTGCTCCTTCCCCTTAGGGTCATAGCTAAAGACTATATTTCCCAGAATGCCCCGGTAACTCTCTCGTAATGTTGAAAATTAAAACTTGGAACAGTCAGGGCGCGGTGAACTTTGCCTCTCCTGTCACTACTTCCTTTATTATTTTTATTGCTTTGGGAAACACATACGCAGTTATTGTTCAGTATATCAGCTCAGCCCATGCACGAATGTTCTGCTCTGGACACTGGAGAATAAACTCAAACAAAATCATATATAAAGTTTCTGCTGTTCAATAAAGTCAAAGTTCCAATGGTGTTAAAGTGGGTATGATGAGTTTTCATGTTTTTATAATAATGTATCTTAATTTTATATCATATGTTAAGAGGCAGTTTGTGGAAAAACATTGGGGAAAAATACAAAAATACACAAACGAGCAATGAACTCTAAAACAGATCCCTCTATGTCATCAATACAGAAAATTCCATCTAAAATTCAGGGACAGTTTATACGAAAGGAAGGTATTTTCTGGCAGTTAAAACCTTGATTTAAAGGTGCACCATGTAACTTTTTTGGTGTGAAGTCTGCGCACTACTTGTCTCCATGGAGATGTTATAGCTTTGCCTGGATTGTGCAACAGTATGGTGTTAAATGTGTCTATTTCTATAAAAAAGAATCATGTGAAGCCGCCAAGCTAAGTTACACATCTACAGAGAAGTCTATAGAGATGTTTTTGAGTAATAAAAACAAATGTAATTGAATGAGCCCCCAGCCTCAGCCTCCTCCTTGTAAGACGTGACGATGGGATTGAGGAGATCCCCAAAGTATTCCTTCCACTGTCTGACCACATCCCCAGTCGAGGTCAACAGCTCAGGCGCTGGACGATTGTGCTCCTCTATGGTCTCTCCAAACTCCTCCCATCCCCGAGTTTTTGCCTCCGCAACCGCATGGGCTGCAGCACGCTTGGCCCGCCTGTACCTATCAGCTGCCTCAGGAGTCCCACAAGCCAACAAGGCCCGATAGGACTCCGACTTTAGCTTGACTGCATCCCTGACTTCCAGCGTTCACCACCGGGTTTGGGGATTGCCACCGCAACAGGCACCACGGACCTTATGACCATAGCTACGAGCGGCCTCATCGATTATAGAGGCCAAGAACATAGTCCACTCAAATTCCATGTCCCCAGCCTCCCCCGGCAGATCGGTGCAGCATCTGCGGTGATGCGGTCGCTCTATCGAACCGTTGTGGTGAAGAGGGAGCTGAGCTGAATGGCAAAGCTCTCGAGTTACTGCTCAATCTACGTTCCTCCCCTCACCTATGGTCATGAGCTTTGAGTAATGGCTGAAAGGACGAGCTCGTGGATACAAGCGGTCGAAATGAGTTTCCTCTGCAGGCTGGCTAGGCACTCCCTGAGAGACAGAGTGAGGAGCTCAGTCACACAGGAGGAGCCTGGAGTAGAGCCGTTGCTCCTCCACGTTGAGAGGAGCAGCTGAGGTGGCTCGGGCATTTGTTCCAGATGTCTCCTGGGCGCCTCCCTCAGGAACCTCCTCAAAAACATCCCTGGAGCTGTGTTTTATTTCATTCACACACGTTTGACTAACCCTGTATTATTAGTCTGTCTGCATCTCCAAAGATCAAAATGCTCTGTACCACCTTCTGATGTCATGTAGTATTCAACTCAACAGTCATTTTACTAAACTCTCTCCCTAAACTCAGTATAACCTCCTCAAACCAGTGTCTTTCCTCTCCTCTCACAGCTTTACCTGCACATAAAACACTCATTTATAACACAGCAAGAGTCGGGTTAAAGCCTTAGAGAGAGTGTGTGTGTTAAACATGTGTGAATGAAACAAAACACAACTCCAGGTCTGTCTTTGCAGGAAACACCATTATAACATAAAACAGTAAATAGTATAGAAAATAGTGTCATATGGGCCCTTTAAATAAAACTGAAAGCAATATTGAAGCTAGTAGATTTAATTTGACGCCTCTCGGCCAAAACAAATGATACAAAGCTGCTGGAGCGTGACTGATTTCTGTAATAAGTCTAACATCTGTCTCCACAAATTCACACTCAATAAGATGTAATAATAGAACGTGTTTAATCACAATATCTCGTCAAATCTATAAAATGTTGTCTAAACAGAAGTGGGTAATATGTCAAAATAATATCGCAATTTTACAGCATTTAGAGCTGTTTTAAGAGGTAGATAAAGATGGTCCACAGTCATTACGTTTAAAGGTGCATTGTGGAACTTTTCTGGTGGAAAGTCTGTCAGATGTCATTGCACTGCCTGGAATGTTCCACAGTATGACATTAAACAGCTCTACTTTGCTGTTATTCAATTACTATTAGGTGGTTTTCTAGCTCAAAAATACCTAAAAAAAATAAAATTAAATTAAAAAAAAACATCAAAAAACAGGGATTCTGGTTGTGAGTGGGGTCGCCTCTCCACAGATCTGACCTGTAACTTAGTCTGGTTTGGTTTCCATAAAGATAGAAAAGTTTAATGCCATGCTGTGAAACTTTCCAGACAAAACAGTAACATCTACATGAAAGAAAGAGAAAAACATTTAACGGACTGTCCACTAGAAAAGTTACACAAAGCAGCTTTAAAGGGCCCATCTCCTGCAAAATAACTCTTTTCACATTGTATCTTCTGCACATATACAAACACAATTTGGGTTTTGGAATATCAATTACACAAGACCAGGAACTCACAGACTAGGAACTATGAAAGGCTGACTATTGCTCCTTCCCCCGCCCGTCCTGAGAAAGCACAGGCTCCGCCCTCCAAACGTGACATAGGCTCTGAGTGAGCCGCCCTTCCTCCACCCATCTCAGGGAGGGAGGGGGAGACGGGCGTGCACCCTAATAACGGTAGGAATAAACTTTTATTCATCATGGTGATACAGCGCATTCAGCCGCATGTGTTGGACCCGGAATCGGACGAGGACTTTGAGGTGCATGAAGCTCAAGCACCACGTCGACATCAGCTGAACATTATTGATTGGTAAAGTATTAATAAACACTAGTAGATAAACTTGCAGTGTAAAAGAATGAGCTTATGCTGTCGCTTTTGTTTAGGTGTTCGTGTGGGAATTGTCAGCCGATGCGGGTTGGAGGAGGTGGAGCGGGGGAGGTGGCGGGTGTGAAGCATTTTCTGCTATGTCAAATGCGTCATCATTGTAGCAGCTTTAGTTCGTTGTCATGTGGGAGGGTGCCAGAAATACGCTGCAATTTGTTTTAAAAAAAATTGCAGAATCAATCTAAAAAACACTTCGGCGACACACATCACTCTTAGAAGGTAGAAAGCTCTGAAAAGTTGATTTTGCATCAGGTGGGCCCTTTAAGATAAAAAATTGGGACTGGACTGGATTTGACCAGGACTAGAACAGGACTAAACCAAGTCCAGAATAAGACTAAACTAGGCCCAAACTAGGATCAAATCAGAATCATTGTGAACTTAACCAAAAGTCTATATATTTATTCTGTGAGTTCATACTTGACTGTGATTGGTCAAATCCACCTGTCACTCACTCATCACGACAGAGGCTGACCAATAGGGGGAGTGAGTGGTGAAAGCGGTCAGATCTGTGGAAAAATGACTCAGGATGACGTTCAAGGTAAAGCAGTAATATATCTACGGAGCCGAGTATAGCATCCCATAAATCAGAAAAGTTACGCAGTGCATCTTTACATCCAGGCAGCTCTTGAAATAGACCTGGTTGTATTTTTATCCCGGTGTGTCTAAGCGGGTCAGTGTCATGAATCAAAGGCTTTAAGATGAGACTTCCGACAGGTCACAAGAAAGATGTCTGCTTTGAAAATTTAAATACCCGCTAGGCTCTATTTAGATCCGGGCTATTTTCGGATAAAAGTGAACAAAGATAGTATGGGTATGGGCTTTAATAACCTTTAGGACTTCATTCACGCTACATACTGCGCATTTTCTTTCTTGTTTTCTTGAATTCACACTGTACTTTTCCAATCACAGCACAAACAGCTTTAAATGGTAAATGGTCATATTTTTATACAGCGCTTTTCCAACTTCAAGGCTCTCGAAGCACTTTACATCAACGAACCACTCGCCCATTCACACAGACATTCACACACCAGCGTACGCACACGCTGGGGTAGTGTTACAGTCAAGACCGCACTAATCGAGACCAAGACCAGACCGAGACCACAGACCTCTGAGGGTCGAGACCGGAACAAGACCAAGACCACAGCCTATTGAGACCAAATCAAGACCATCTTTGTAATTTTCTACATTTATTTGTATCTGGCACAAAATATATCTTTTTTTTTTTAAATCTATCTCCATTTTAACTGATTAATGTTAATTTAAGATTACAATAAGCCAAGCAAACTGTACTGCATTTAAACACTCTGAGCATCTTTTTTGGACTCGCACCCACAGTTTAAGAACCTCTTCTTTAAGAGAACTTCCACTGGTACTTTACACAAAACTCTGAAGAAATGTAATAAAGTGGGAGGGATTTTTAAGCATTTTTTTCAAGTTTCTAGCTGGAGTTCAATTCCCTTACTGGTTTTGCAGTGGTATTTACCAGCCTCTGCACATTTACCAAACACACGTCGCGACAAATACAGATGCATTTGTGCACTTTTATTAAGCAAACTTCAACCACATGTCGAGGTATGAAGTTTATTGCCGACAGCAGAGTGTCAGACCTCGAGTCCGAGACAAGACGGAGTCCAAACGCCTTCAAGACCGAAACAAGACCAGGTCCAAACACAGTCAAGTCCGAGACAAGACCAAGAAAAAAAATGGTCTCGAGGCCAGTCTCTAGACCAAGACTGGTCTCAAGTACTACTACACTACACTGGGACCGATTAAGTGGTAAGTTAAGTGTCTTGCCCACAGACACAACAACAGCATTAATCTGAGGGAGCTGGAATCACACCACTGGACCTGACCACTGAACCAATGACGTTTATATCAAAAGGTGGATTCAGACCGACACCGGACACAATCAGAGGACGGATATTCTACCGTCTGAGCTGCTGTCCCCCCGGAATACTTCAGAATGACGCACCAGTATTCTCACTATTGTCTGACTTGTAACAGGTGACTTTTTCCAGAGCTATAATCTTTGAATTAAAAAAATTTTCTGGTGGCTCTGTCGCCTGATTGTCTCCATGTAGATGTTATTGTTTTGAAATGTTCCACAGTATAGCATTAAACTTATCCTCCATTTATTCAATTACAGAAGTCTTTATTGCAACACACAAAGAAAACACTTGTCTACACATCTGTACCTAGGCCTGGCAGCGTCACTTCCTTATCTCGATGGATACAAAACATTTTAGTGCCATACTGTGGAACATTCCTGGCAAAGTGATAACATCTCCATGGAGATAAGCACACGATGGACTCTACCAGGAAAGTTACTACACCATTAAATTTGTAACATGACAGGACAGTATGTTACCTTTACAGTGCAGGATGATGTGCTGGTGGGAGGGGCTGATGTCTGCGTCGAAGTACAGACAGTGAGCCTTGTTCAGGTCACAGGTCAGGCATCGCCGTGGAAACAGACCCACTGTTTTTACACTGCAAAAGTATAAAATAATGAGGAAGAAGACATTTAGAATAAGGGGTGTTTTCAGAGGCAAAGCTACTTATTTTCTTTTTGGGGGAGTTTAGAACAGTACAATGTAAGTAAACTTAAAGACACTTGAACGTAATCTCACTGAATTGTAGCTACAGTTGCTCTTAGAAGTAATTTTTTTTTGTTTCTATAGTGAACGTAAGTAAGGGCTGTCCAAGAAAAGATTTGTACATTAGTCTGACCTGTAGAGCTGCCGTCTGCGTGGAGAGCCTTCTGTACTCAGGAAGTAACTGTGAAGAAACAAATAGAAATCAAGGTTTAGTTCACAATCCAAGGGATCCATACACAGCGGTGGAAAATAAAAGTAGTAAAGTACTGTACTTAAGTCAAAATTGTAGGTATCTGTATCTGAGCAAATTTTAAATATACTTTTTCCGAACATTTGAGAGCAGGTATCTGTACTTTCTACTCCACAACATTTTTGAACTTTGAAAGTAGTAAGAAAGTTAGAAAGTACTCTATTCTGTGAGACCTGCTAACAGTTTATTTTTAACACGTTTATAGTTAAAAAAAAAAAAAAAAAAAGCTAGCAAAAAAAAAGCTAGAAAAAAGTCAAACTAAAAGTCCCAAAAGTTGAAAAAAAAAAAAAGTACAAATCTTTATTAAAATCACTACATTTGAAGTTTTATTTATATCTCAAACTCTGTGTACAATACCTTTTACTTTTTACTCTTTGTGTACATTTTTAAACAGGTACATTATTAGTTTTACTTCTGTTTCTGTTATGTTTCTTTTCATGTATTTATCGTATATTTTTGCTCCCGTATGTGTACTTTTACTTAAGTAACAAAACTGAGTACATGTTCCATCACTGCTCATATGGAACATTTAAAACATTATATACAACATTATATTTTATTATAAGTAGATTACACGTGTATTTATGATCTGAAAAGCCAAAAGCTACTGAAATAATACATAAACATACAGCTAATGGTTATTTCAATAGTGCAATCAAGTAGTCAGGAATCATTGTTTTCAATTACTCAAACGATTATTTTATTTTTTAAAAATACCCTTTTAACCAGATAAAAGTCAAAATATACTGACTGGAGGCTTCTACAGACTATATATTTTCAAATTAACTGTAATATTGATGAAAAACCAAACTATGTATTTTTTGAAGGCATTTTGACTTGATAAAGCAGCTGCCTTTGTTCTAAACCCTCTTTTGCAGTGTGTTTTTTCATTAGTCACGACTATTCACAATAGGGATGTAACAATAACTGAAATATTGTGATATCGTATCGTCAAAAGTTTCACAATAATACCGTGGTCTGTCACAATATATCGAATCACAAGTTCCTTTACTTAAATCAGGGGTGTCCAAACTTTTTTTTTTGTATCAAAGGCCACATATGTAAACACAGATCAAGCAGAGAGCTGATCGAGGGCTGTAGACTGGTGCTCAGTACAGTGAATAATTGAAATATGTGCATGTTTAACACATTACAATGAGCCATCAGTCTTTATTCACGCTAAGAAGAGCTTTATCAAGGTAGATTTTCAAAAAAGTTGCAGTAAAAAGTTCATTTTTAATTGATACAAGGTCATTTGGGCCAATTCAACCGGAAGCCTGAGGGCCAAGAAAAATGTTTTTGAGGGTCGCAATTGGCCCACGGACCATATTTTGGACATGCCTGGCTTAAATGCATGGTTTTACAGTAGCTTATAAACATAGGGAACTACATATCCCACGGTTCATTTCGGCGCAGACAACCTGAAGAAATATGTTTTTTACTTGAATTCTTGGGATTATGACGGAAATAATTCACACCAAAATCTTGCCATGGTATTTTAAAAGCAGAAACGCACAAATGTCCAATCTACAATTACATCAGCCTGTCCAAAATATCGCAATAAATATCGTACCATGAGATGCATATCGCGATAATATCGTACTGAGAGATTTGGATATTGTTACATCCCTAATTCACCATTATTCCAGTTAGTTGTTGCAGCTCCAGTGGACTTTTTATGTATTTATTTACAAAACATATACACACATTTAGAATAGTTCGTACAATTGTATGGGTCTTGTAAAAGGGAACTCCCCAGAAGCTTATAAAAGACTCACAGGTTGTCGGAGTTTTCGTCGTAAGCCACGATCCTGGTCACCTCCCAGTTTCCTGATGTCAGATGTCGCACTTCGTTCTGATCTGCTCTGAACTGTTAACAGAATCATACTTATGGTTATATTTTTGTAGGTTTGTTATGTATGTTGCCAGTTAAGTAAAATGCTCATATTCTTTTGTAAAAACTATATTGAGATACCTGTGTAGTGAACATGGCGATGTGATGGAACTCCCCTCTTCCTCCCTGTTTGACCGGGACAGTGAGGAAGAACCTGTTGCCTTCCCGAGAGAAAACCGGCTCCTGCGTCTGGCAACAAAAATACAATATGTTAGATTCATTTATCTAATACTCAAAAATCTATGTGTATGAGTGTGGAGCACAAAGAAAGACTGCATTTCCACTACAAAACTACAGTAGTGCTCATTGAAATCTCAACCGTGAGTTCAGCGTTTCAAGGAGAAAGTACATTTGTTTTCACGTTAGATGAATCACCAGTTCCCAGAATGAATACACGCTTTCATTAGAAATCAAAAGAGAAAGGACGTGATACTGGTGGTTTTCAGATTCGAGAATGTGATGTTGTCATACTCCTAGATGCGAGCATCAATATTTTTTTTAATATTGATTTCATCGTACTTTACCATGAAATATCCAAAAAGTAAATTCAAAATTCACAAATGTTGAGCCATGTTGAATGCTGAATAATTTCTATTTGTGACTAGACCCAAAAACTCACTGCATTACAACTAGGAAAGCGAGAGCGAGACAAAACGAGATTTTAATATAATAGGTAGTGCAATCCATTTCACAATTTTGGCCTCACTATTTTTATTTACTGTATTTTTTGGACTGTATGGTGCACCGGATTATAAAGTGCAATATCAGTAATGTTGAATTCTCTTGTCTATTTTCATACATAAAGCACACTGGATTATAAGGTGCATTAAGCAAAACAAACGGACGACACTTGAGATCCACGATCCATTGGCAGATCGTGGTGTAACTCGCCCAGCGTCCCTGTCTTGGTGAATGTGTATTATGAATGTGAATGTGGGTGGATATGGATGCTTTCTACAAGGAGGACTCAAATACACATCGAGTAATAATATGTTTAATGCAGCATTTGTTTTAGTTTTACAGAAAAGAAACTTCAAACCACATGGCTAATTTGCATAAACTATAAGCCCTGAAAAAACAGCTCACTCCTTGCGCTGCTGATGCAGTCAACTTCTGTCGGACTAAGCCTGCAGGTCATACGCGTAGATCGTATATATGAATAGACATATATTCTCTATAAATGCTGACGCAGAACTATACTTCGCCTTTTACTCTGCGAGACTCTTGACTACGGTAATGCTCCGACAATCCATCAAGCGGTGCGGCTTTGTAGCTTACCAAAGTCATACTAAAACATTTTGACAGAGTTTTGAGCGCCCTGTATCTCATAAAATCAGTTCGAGGTCAGTAAGCACAACCAGAATTAATAAGGCACACCGGATTATAAGGCGCACTGTCGATTTTTGAGAAAAGAGTGCACCTTGTAGTCCGAAAAATACGGTATTTTATATAATACTTTAGCAGTCATTGTAGCACAGCATGCTTTTTGCAACTACTGATTCTCAAATTGAATAACTCTTTTTTTTGTCTAATTTAAAGGAAAAAATCTCAAGAGATATATTTTTTAATGTGTGGACCATAGAAAATATAGTATACCTTGACGTAATCAGAAAACCTCTATCTGTTACCAGTTATGCTGTATCTTGCTGTAACAAACAAGGGTCTAAATTGCAGTCAGGTAACCTCACAAATGCTAACTTCTCGCTTCTATCTGCTTAAATAACTTTGCTTTTTACCCAAACCCTGTCTGTGCATCCCACTGTGCATGTATTTGACAATTACCACTGACAAAACTGATCACAAATGACCAGTTAGAGCCAAAAAGTTGCAGTAATTTAAAGTTGCAGAGGAGGGTGAAGGGTTTTGTTGACATTGCAAAAAAAAACTGCTGAAATAGCTGAGGCTTATTTTTAGTTAATGTGTGAATAAAACAAACCACAACTCCAGGCACGTTTGCAATTAGAATATGAGCTCTTTAAAGACATTGACAATATTTAAACTATGTATTATACTGTTATGCTGTGATCTATTTACATTCATAGACGTGAAAAATATTGATAATTGATCATTTGCTATTTTTTGCGGACCAATGCAATGCCATAGGAAAAAAGACAGGGGGCTGGCTCTGGTGCTCCATAGTCATTGTTGCTGAGTGGATAACATTATCATTGAACGCTGCATCTATTTATTAATATTGTCTATGCTGTTGTTAACCTGAGTACAGTGGTTCGTTTCTGTGTATTTTTATACTGAAATGATAAAATGATGAAATAAATGATGATTCTGATTCTGAAAAGATGTGATAATGTCAGCCCAGTATATCTGACCCAATCACCCACTATTGGCGATGAAGCTCTGGTCTCACATCTTCCCTTTATTTATTGGTCTCTTTGGCAAAGGCAGAGCTGCAGTAAAACTCCTGTCAGAACATTGCGCTGGCTACAAATTTTTATGGCGAGAGAAGGAAATTGATTATGAATAAACACACAGCACGTCTGAGTGTTCCAGTGTTGAGTTTAAGGATGAGACATGTGAGTGTGACAGATGGGCTCAGAAGGACCTACCTGCTTTGACAGCCAAAGTTCAGAGCTCTCCTCGTGCCTCTGAAAAAGACAAAAATACTGTCAGAAAGGATTTCATATTCTACCAAACTCTCCAATGCTTTATAAAGAATGTTTTCAGTACAACCATTTTTAATATTATACTCAAATCACATTTTTATAATCAGTTAAAATCTGATAATTAGATAATCCAATTAAAGAACACATATTGTGTTTGAGGCTGACCAGTGGTATTCAGGCTGGTGTCACCTAGAGCCTTCACTCAATTTCATTTCTCTCCAGCAACTAGGTCAGCAATCGGAATACACTAGACCAGGGGTGTCAAACTCATTTTGGTCCAGGGGCTGTATCCAAACTACTTTGATCCCAAATCAGAAAACTCATGGCATATATACCTCAAAAATAACAATAAGTTCAAATATTTGTGCAGAGAAACGCAAATCTATTACAGAAATCTTTTATTATAATATTATAATATTATGAACAACCTGAAACTTTAAGAAAAATGCGATTTCAGCACAATGTTTTAACATGAACTTGTATGCAAATAGGATTTTTTCTTGGAAAATCCTGCACTTGGCTCCACTTTTCTCATTTTTGACATTTTGCTGATGAGGGTGTCACGGTCAACAGTCAAAAGGATCGTCTTTTAAGAGCGTTTGGAAAGAGACAAGTCTTCATTTGTGCTGCTCTGGTGGGAGGGGCCACGTACAGAAGCGCTGGAGATGCTGCTATGCTAATAATTTAATAGAAAATATAATTAAAATATATTAGAAGAAAATCAGCCGAGGGCCAGATTAAAGGTCTTGGCGGGCCAGATCTGGCCCCTGGGCCGTATGTTTGACACCCATGCACTAAATGGTTTGCAAAAACCCCGGAAGTGCAAGTTCGGGCACCAGCCAATCAGCGAAGAGTCATATATTCTATGTTGTCAATGATTCCCGAGAACGAGGATTTAAAGCCGGAATAAAGACAATGTTTGGTGAATTTTATCAAGGAGAAAGACGTTATTGTTCTTCTTCCTATGGGATTTGGGAAAAGCTTAATATACCAGTTACCCCCGTTAGTGGCGCTTTACATACATCACGACTAAATAGCAATGATTGGTTAAATAAAAAAGTACCTGCCTACCGTCGAGCGAACGAATTCTAACACTGCGAGGTCAGACGTTTTTTTACAAAGTGAAACGGGCTGATGAGTCGGGCTAGACCGGTGGATCATAGACCGGTGGATCATAGACCGGTGGATCACAGACCGGTGGATCACAGACCGGTGGATCATAGACCGGTGGATCATAGACCGGTGGATCATAGACCGGTGGATCATTAGACCGGTGGATCATAGACCGGTGGATCATTATCATTTATCTAAAATGACTAAATAAAAGAAATGCTGACTTCTATGTTGGTAAACTGTGGTGCGCAGTGGGAGCTGATGTTGCTGTAAACATCATCACAACAAAGAGTCAGCAACTCCAATGGACAGCTGCACATTACACTAACAAGCAGCAGACTTTTATTTATATTTGTACCAAAATTACCACATAAAGAAGTGGACTAAGGCAGTGTGACGTCAACCATAGCACACGACTCCACTCTGATGAAGCTCACGATGGTAGCGGTTCTAGGGGCCAATTGGGAGTGAATTGGAATCGAATTATGTACAAAATAGTGAAATAAAAACACCAGGGTCATGAAGAGCGGGTTAATATAAACATTTTTAGACCAAAATGACGAGGCTCACAGCAGCAGTTACAGAGAAAGCGGCTTGATGGAGTCGTAAGCGCCCCCATGCTCACTTTTTAGGGTGACCAGATGTCCCCAAAAATTTGGGACAGTCCTGAAATCTACGCTGTTGTCCTGAATCCCATCCTGAATGTCTCAAAAATTAGACTCAATACACTCAATTTTCATTCACCCATGTTTGAGTAATACTTTATTATTAACGTGTCTACATCTCCAAAGCTCAAAGTGCTCTGCTACACCTTGTGATGTCATACAGTGATAGCTTTCAGGTTAAGAGCTACATTTTATCTTTTGTTCAGCAGAAATTGGCAAATCCATGGCTGAAATGATCCAAACGATCCAACTGAAGGTGTATGGAATTTAAAAACACAGTAGTACCGCATGACATCACAAGGTGGAACAAAGTATTTTCAGTTTTGGAGAAGAACTCAGCCTAAATATTGAGGGTCTGTGTGTTTAAAAAAAACAAAAAACTGAAAAACAAACAAATCCAGGCCTGTTTTTGATGAGAAAACAACATTAAAATATAAATCAGAAAGTAGCATGAATAAAAAATCGCGCGTTTAATGATAATTAACTAAAAAGTGCCACTTGACTTTTCCGTGCAACTTTTTGAAAATACTTTTTCTTATCTTGTTTTGGCATGTAGATCTTGATTAAACTATAAGAGCGAGTAAAGGGGCCGTGTTCTTAAACAGAGGTTAATAAGTGTCAGTCCAAATACCCCTGCGACTTATATCTCCACGGCAACATGAATAAAAGATATAACGCCGTTCTTTCTTTGAATTAAACCCCAAATCGAGCCCGTGACTACAAAGCCAATACTGAACACTCGCCGCATAAAATGAAGGGATTACTCAACCTGACAAAAGAGGAGGGAAAAAAAGAGGGAGAAAATGGGGAAAGATAAAAGCGCTCATGGAGTTTTGAAATGAAATCAGTTTTTTATTATTTGTGTAGGAGCCCGGACAAAGACTAATGTAATGTAAACCTAATATAAGGAGCAAATGGGGATGTTATTTCGCAGGTAATGACATTTCCATCTCACACGCAGAGAGATGAGATTACGTGTATGCAAATTAGACTGAGACAGAGTTTTTAAAGGTGTTTTAAAAGTTACATATGTTCAGAGGTGGATGGTTACATTTACTCAAATACTTTATAAACTGTACTTTTCAGAGTACTTTTCCCAGCAGCAGCAGTGCTCTTACACTTCATCAAAAGTTGTGTTTTGTTTTTTTTTCTTTTAGTTTAGTTTTTTGTTTTATGTACTAATTTTCAACTGCAGGGTTAAGTCTGTCCTTTTAAAATACCAGATTTTGTGCATTTATTTTATATAAAATTTTGTCTTTCAAATTATAAATCAGATTTTATACCCTGACAGTTACTCTTATTCTTAGTTACCATCTTTTTTGGACTATAAGTTTCACTTTTTTTCATGGTTTGGGTGGTCCTGCGACTTAAACTCCGGTGTGACTTTAATATTCAAATTTTCACAGTGACGGCTGCGAGAGGGCGCTCTAGGCTTGTGTGTCAGTATCTGCTACTCGTATTACTCCTGTAACACTGTCACTTCACTCTACTGTGCATGTCTCCTGCAGAAAGAGCCTCTGTCCTGTCTGTATCATGTCAGTTGATCGCATCATTACTTCTGTACCAGTGAAAATTTAAAATTTAAACAAACTTATAAAGACAACTGAGAAGACTGAACACAAATGCCCCGAAAAGAAAATCCTATTTTTCAGATTACAAGATGCAAGTATTCAGCCGAAATGGTAATTGAGCAGCAGAAAGAAAGTTTGGAGTGAGTGAGAAACTTGTGACAACCGGGAGGGTGAACCATGAAACTTCAGAAAGGCCAGGAATAATTCTAACTGGAACTGACGCTGAGTCTGACGACAGCTACACAGAAGTGGAACTGGTGCATTTACATCTGGAGGTCGCTGAGTTGCTTAGAAGTGACACAGAGGATGAAGAATTCAATGGATTTAGTGATTTGGAGTGAGATGGAGAGTTTGGTAAACTTGTTCTGTTCTGCTGTTTATGTTATAGTTTATCTGAAGAACTGTTCATATGTGACGTTAACCGCCTGTTCTATTGTTATTATTATAACTTGTCCTTTCAAAGTGAAATGTCGGTTTCTGGTCTCTGATTTTATCAAATAAATTTACCCCCAAAAGTGCAACTTATAGTCCGATGTGACTTATATATGTTTTTTTTTTTCTTCATTACACCTTTTTTGGCTGTGCGACTTATACTCTGGAGCATCTTATAGTCAGAAAAAATATGGTACTTCTTAAGTAATACTAATTTATAATAATAATTTCTTGGATCACTTTGTACTTCTACTTGAGTAATACTATTCTGAACTAAAAATACTCTTATTTGATTACATTTTTTGACCACTCTACATACCTCTGTTTATGGGACATCAAATCACAGTGCCAAGTTTACTTAAAGGTGCACTACTGAACTTTTCTTGTGGAGAATCCGACGACCATGAAGTCTCCATGAAGATGTTAAATATATTCTTAGTGTATGCTGGGTCACCTCTCCGTAGACTTGGCCAATAACTTGTTTCCATTGTGATTACTTATTAATAACTTTTCACACTGAACCATTTTAGAAGGAGTAAGTGACATTTACATTTAGTTCCAGCTTTTGAAGACATTTCAGTGAGGATGTGAGGAATGCAGTGATGGGATTTTCCGAATCTTTTGGATCCGTTTATGTCAAAGAGCCTTTCAAAAGATCTGCTCTTTGTGTATTATTTATATGACAGACGCCAATGTAAGAATTTTGTCTGTAAAATAATCACAGAAAGAAATGATCAAATGGTTCCAACTGAGAGTGGGAGTCTGATTACCCTTTGAAATGATGTCTTGCACTACCACAATAACATCGAAAAACCAAATTATTCTTTTAATGCCACATCTGTCTTTTTGTGTGTGTGTGCGTGTGTGTGTGTGTGTACAAAGCTCTCACTCGCTGGTGTTACTATGTTGGTTCAGTGTATAATCGGTGTAAAAATGCATAGAAATTAGAAAGAAAAAGATTTGTTTAAAAAAAAAAAGAGATCCGGTTCCACTAGTTCATGTTAGAAACCGTTCAAAAGAGACGACTCGACTTATTCATGAACGTCACATCACTAGAGGAATGTGTATGGACAGAGAATAATATGTTTGGACAGCTGCAAACTGCTTCAGATGAACTTGTTTTCAAAGAAAAAAAAAATCAGGTATAGCTTCTTTAAAATAAGAAGTGCCTGCAGTTTCTACCAGCAGAGAAAAATAACAAAGTATAAAGGTAAAAGTACAAGTGTTAGGTATCTGTGTTTTACTTAAGTGCAATTTACAGTGGGTACTTTTTACTTCTACTTCACATTTGTACTTTCTACTCCATTTCAGATCTGGACTGGATCTTTACATACATTTTAGATCTGGACTGAAAAGTAAAAAGTACGTTTCTTTACGGTTTGAGACCTGCTGAAATGGCTGAGTTTTATTTTTAGGACATCTAATTTTGAGTTCATGTCTCAACTAAATATCTAAATATCTATTGAATCCCTTAAAATCAGCCAATTTCTTTATCAAAATCACTACATTTCATCCTTAAATTGTTCAAAAAATCTCTGCAAAATACTTAACATTTGAAGACCATTTTTAAACAGCTACTTTAATACTTTTCTTCTTAATATCTTCACATCTTTGAGTGTCCAAAAAAGCACTATATAAGTCCAATGTATTATTATTATTTGACTTAAGTAACTTTTTGTCTCTGTATTTGTACTTTTACTTAAGTAACAAAACTGAGTACTTCATAGTTTCTACTCACCGTGACACAGGCCCCAGTGGTGGTGTCGCACACAGTCAGTATGGAGATGTTCTGAGGCCGGTTCAGCCATCGCACTGCGGTCTTCGTCTTACTGATCCACTTCACCATGGTCACATAATGCTCCCTACAAACAGACAAACAAAAAAAAAGAATAACAATACTATGTGTAAAATGAAAAGTAAAAAGTACTTTTCTTTAAGGAGACTTATTTTTAGCACTAATTTCAGTTCATGTCTCAACTTTGAGCAAACTAAATACACAAGAACAATTAAGAAATCTAGTGAATCACTTAAAATCAGCCAAATTCTTTATCAAAATCACTGCAAATCTCTACTTTTAAAGACCGTTTTTAAACAGCTACTTTAATACTTTTACTTAATTGACTTTTTGCCTCTGTATCTGTACTTTTACTTAGTACAGTGTTAAAGGAAGTAAGACCAGAACAACTGCAACTGAACTTGAGATCCCATTGGCTGTAAAACACTGAGAGGACATCATGTTTTTTTGAAAAGTTAAAGTGTAGGATCTGGGAACCCAAAACAAGGGGCTCATTCTTCTTTCTTGTTTTGTAATTCACCTGAGAACCAAAAACACACACACAAAAACGTATCTAGAATATCCGAGCTGTTGAACATGCTCGCTTTACAAGCACAAAATTAGAAAATGTTTTTAAAGCAGTCGGGGAACCATCAACCAGAAAAACGTTGCATAGTGGACTTATCAGAAATGATTGAGCTATAATCGATCCCTCGTAAGGCTGGTGTATTCCTTCATTTGTACAATTACCAAAAGTGGAACTAAACACCTAAACTCCGCCCACAACCGCATTTCAAACGGAGCTGCTAAATTTGTGCAGTACCTGTAGGACTACGGCTAAGAAGCGCCTTCACTTTTTATTCCGCATTTAGAGTTAAGTGTTTTTCGGGAGGAAATCTGCATGGATACGGTGACGCAAAAGTGTGTGGAGTTCGATTGGTTTTGCATTCCAGGTGGCTTGCTGGTGCGACGTGAGCAGATCTGAATTTTGCGTCTTGGGCAGTGTAGACAGAAACGCTACGGCGGAGCGTGTTCAACTTTTCCACTCTGGAGGCTGGTTTCAGATTTGTGCATTTTTAGCCCCGAAAATGGTGCCACCGTCTAAAACAGGGGTGTCAAACTCATTTTGGTCCGGGGGCCGTATCCAACCTGCCTTGATCCAAAAGGGGCCGGATCAGAAAACTCATGGCAAATAAACCCCAAAAATAACAATAAGTTCAAATATTTGTGCAGAGAAACACACATCTATTACAGAAATCTTTCTTTTACTCTTTCTTTTACATAATATTATAATATTATGAATAACCTGAAACTTTAAGAAAAATTCTATTTCAACACAATGTTTTCACATTATCTTGTATGCAAATAGGAATAAGCCAATTTTTCTTGGAAAATCCTGCACTCAGCGTCCACTTTTCTTATTTTTGACATTTTGCTGATGAGGGTGTCACGGTCAACAGTCAAAACGATCGTCCTTTAAGAGCGACAAGTCTTCATTTGTGCTGCTCTGGTGGGAGGGGCCACGTACAGAGACGCTGGAGATGCTGCTATGCTAAGCAACGCAGAAAATTACCAATATTTTAATAGAAAATATAATTCAAATATTTAAGTAGAAAATCAGCTGAGGGCCACATTAAAGGTCTTGGAGGGCCGGATCTGGCCCCCGGGCCTTATGTTTGACACCTGTGGTCTAAAAGAAAGGCACTTCTGATAAAATATTTTGTCCTTTTTACCTGCAAACTTTCTTGTTTAAACGGACCCTAAAGAGGGGAGTGTGGGGGGAGGAGGGACGGGGTCTGGAGAAATAAGGAACTGCGATTGGTCTAACAGGTATCCGTGCTTCAAACTCCGCCCCTGACGCCAGGTGTTGGCTGTATTCAGGACAGTCTTTTGTGATGTCACATACTACTTGAAACTGCATCAGCGGGTGGAGCCAGGTCACACCAATTTTAATACATTTTTAGAACAAAACAGCAAATTTATAGCCAGATTCATCAGCCGGTTTCACTTTGTGGGAACGTCGTCTGCAGCATTAGGATTCGTTCGCTTGAAGGTAAGAGGGTACTTTTGTCGTGACGTACGGAATGCACCAAATCCCGTAGGAAGAAGGGCAATAACGTCTTTCCCCTTGATAAAATTCAAACATTCTCTTTGTTCCGGCTTTAAATCCTCGATCTCAGGAATCGTTGCCAACACAGAATGTATGGCTTCGTCTACATCCATCTTGACCGCTTTGTTTACTGTTGTGCTGCACCACAAAGGGACCCAGACAGGCACTTGAGTTTGACGTCATGACTTCACAGCTCTTCACTGATTGGCCGGTGCACAGTCTTCAACTTCTGACGTTCTTGCAAACCGTCTAGTGTATTCTGATTCCTGACCTAGTCGCTGGAGAGAAATGATCCCAGCCTGACTAGCACATTTATCTAGTTTGAACTTCAATTACCAAAAAAGGACAAGCAAGATGAGACACTCTTTAAACACCAGATCCACAATTTAGTAGTGAAACAAGTTGGTTTAGTGTTTATTTCCACTTTAAATAAACTTGCACAGCTGCTGGTTATACTGAAGAAAACCTTATATATTATTTACTATGGGTCTGTCTGTGGTTCAAAGGAGATTGAGTGGCCCCCGATACAGAGAAAGAAGCAGACAAACTAAAGCGCTTTAAGAAAACTTACTCTGAAGGAAAATAGTGTAACGTCTGAAGCTGAACTTGAATCAAGGTTGCCAGATAAGCACTTGTTTTCAAGTGTGTTTACAGTCTTATAAACAATGTCATTCTTCTCAAGACTGCTCAAGGTGAAGAGAGACTTAGTTAAAAACAATTATTCAGGCAACTTTGAAATATTTATCAGTAAATTATGATATGGTAGTTTATTCTGTTTTCCCATAACTCTATACTGAGGGCACAAGCAACCCATCGTTGAATTATTTTAGTTTAAGAGCCTGTGACTTATTTTTCCTGACAATGGTTTTCATTCTGACTGAGCACCTAATTATTCACGGTGACCAGTTTTTAAGCTCTTTTCACACTTTTCAGAGGCCAGAGTGGAGTTTTGCCATCACAGTAATGCCAACAACAGCTACCATGCTAACCAAGCACTACCTGACTGATGCTAGATTCATTCATTTGATGCACAAAGCTGTCTTATTTTTTACTTCAAGAGCTGCCTATACAATATATCTGTACTGCGGCAAAACAAATGTTGGAACTAGATTAGGTAAGGCTTTTTAATATATTTTATGCAGTATAAATGTCACTATTTTGCCTCTGCAGAGTAAAAAGACTCTATAGTAATTAAAGTTATTTTGTATATGTTTATGACAATACTAGCTGCATTTACAACAGTAACACGTTATAAAAGTAACAAATTACTTTAATGCATTGCTTTTTGCTGTAACACAGTAATATAAGGCATTACAGGGGAAAAATATATATATATTTTACTCGGTACAAATGTCAGTAAGGTGCGTTACAATGCTTTTTTAACCTAGATTTTTTTTTTCTATCATACAAATTCGCTAAAATTACCGTATGAGCAGAAGTGAAACGCCGAAGGTTTCATCCCTGTAGACCATCCAGTGACCATGGCTAATTGCAGCTGATACCCGATCGTGCTTTGCGGGTACCCTGCTCCAGGGGTGGTCCTAAATTCTAATTCCTAGTCCAAGATTAGTCCTAGTTTGGCCCTAGTTTAGCCGTGGTTTAGACTTGGTTTAGTCTTGGTTTAGACCTGGTTTAGTACTGATTTAGACTTGGTTTAGTCCTGATTTAGTCCTGGTTTATTCCTGGTTTAGTCCTGGTTCAGTCCGTAGTTCAGGCCTTGGTTCAGTCCTCGGCTCAGTCCTGATTTAGTCCTGGTTTATTCCTGGTTTAATCCTGGTTCAGTCCATGGTTCAGTCCTGGTTTAGTCCTGGTTCAGTCCATTTACGACGCAAAAGTTCGGCATCTTCACGCAGTTATTTTGGTGAGAATAGTTGTGTAATGCCTTACATTTTAAATGCAGTAATATTGTAATGTAACAAATTATGATAGTGACAGTTTTGAAGTAACTTGCCCAACAGTGATAAGGGGGCCCATATTCCACTATTTTCTGATCTATGTTATAATGTTGTTTCCTCATCACAAACAAAACACAACTCTAGATATGGTTTTGAGGAGGTAACAACATTCTAACAGGTCTTAAATCTCACAGGAATCAATGGAACCTTTACAATAACTGTAAGTGTGGAAAACATACATCATATCACATTCAATTTTAAGTGTGCAATAGTTTGAACCGACCTAATACACTTTTCCTCACAGTAGAATATACATTATTATTGTAAAAGTTGGAATAGTTTCTGCTGAGTTAACCTCCGCTGTTTAAAATTGCAGAGGAGGCACAGTCCTTTTCTCTCATAAGGTTAAATCAGATTTCCCTTGCACTTTTGAAAACAGTGAGATATGAGGAGCAGATAGCATCGAGCGCTCTATGGGCTGAATAATATTAGACTCTTATTTACTGGTGTGCTTCGTCCTTGGTCTGTGCATTGGAAATAAAGGCTCCAGCAGACTGCAGGGCGAGGACACAGGCCAGAGTACAGCAGAGTGCAATTAAAGAGGCGCCCGAGCTTAAGTGAACATCGCAAAGTTACAAAGTGAAATGGAGCCTTCAAAGAGAGAGTTTGAGAAGGAGTGTTTGCACTGAGAAAGTCTAAGGTGTTTAAAATGAAGGTGCATCGTGTAACTTTTCAGGTGGAGGGTGCTGTGCCGACGACAGGTCTACATCCCGCTGAGTTCAAACGACCCTGGGAACCTGGCTGATGTGTTAAAATACTTCAATGATGTGAACAGTTGGATGGTACAGAACTTCCTATAACTCAACAGCTCCAAATCTAACATCATTTTAATCAATCCCCCCCAATCCAAGACCCATATCAGCAAAAATCTCGGCCCTCTCGCTTCGAACATTACCTCTGCCACCAGAAACCTCGGCGTAATTTTTGACTCTCACCTCAACGTCCGCCTTCACATCAAAAAAGTCACCCAATCCTGTTTTCTACACCTCTGCACAATTAGCAAAATCAAAACTCCAGACACCAACACATGACCCTGTTTTACTTCCCTTCACTGGCTGAATCTATTTTAAGATTTTACTGATCACTTTTAAAGCTCGTTTTGGTTTTGCACAAAGTTACGTTCAGAACTTTTAACCCCGTACGAGCCTCATGCAGCCTTAGATCCACAGACAGGTCCCTGTGGCTGTTCCAAAGTCCAGGATCTGGATGAAGACTGATCGAGCCTTTTCAGTCCGGGTGTCTCGGCTTTGGAACGACCTGCCTGAGGAGATAAGGCTCGCACCACCAGTATCATCTGTTAAATCACCTAAATCAAAGACTCATTTTTTATCGGCTGGCCTTCCTTTAACTGGTTTTAGCTCTATTTTTTTTTTTTTTTTAATGTATTGGATTTTTTACCTCATTGTCTGTTTTTGTATGCTTTCTATATGCTATTGTTATGCTTTTTGTATTGTTCTTTGTTGCTTGTACAGCACTTTGTTTTTAAAAGTGCTTTATATATTATTATTATTATTATTATTTGTCTGGAATGTTTCACAGTATGGTATTAAACCTTTCCATCTTCATGGGGACTAAACCAGACCAAGTTACAGGTCAGATCTGTGGAGAGGCGTCCCCGCTCACAGTCAGAATGCCTGTTTTTTTAAAGTATTTTTGAGCTATTAAACCACCTTAAAACACTAATGGAATTAATGTAAGATAGAGCTGTTTAAAGTCATAGTGTGGAACATTCCAGAGCAGAGCAGAGCAGTGTCATATCCATAAAAACAAGCAGGTGAGAGATCCCCAACCAAAAAGTTACACAATGAAAATATGATCAAAACAAGGGGCAAAATCATCATTAAAGGACCTCATTTCCAAGTTAACAAGAGTGTTGGAGATGTGTGGAGACACTTTTTTTTTTTTTTTAATATTCCATCCAGTCCTTGTATTTGCAGAGGTCACTGGTGCTAGGCTAGTGCATGCCAATGGCCATAGTTATCCTGCCACTAAAAACAGTCTTACCCACTCCACAAAACACTTGAAGGAAATGTATTATTACACCAGACTGTTGATGTGAATGTTTGTGTTGATAGAATAATGTTTGAAATAAAACTAACCTCGCATCGCATGAATCGTCGCATGTTGAGGGACTATTTTCTCAGAAGCAGTGGCATTTTACTTTGTCGGTAGGTAATATCAGTCCGCTGCTGTCAAACTTTCTATCAGAAAGTACAACCTTCAAATACAAGGTTGGTTTAACTTTTTAAATTACTCTATCAACACAGACATTCACATCGATAGTCTGGCGTAATAATAGATTTGTTTCGGGTGCTTTGTGGAGTGGGTAAGACTGTTTTTATTGACAGGCTAACTATGGCCATTGACATGCACTAGCCTAGCACCAGCGACCTCTACAAATACAAGGACTGGATGGAATATTTAAAAAAGTGTCTCCACACGTCTCCAACACTCTGGCTCACTAGGAAGGATTCTATGTTCAATATTCTGGACTGTCCCTTTGACTATTTATTATGTTTTATGTTCCTTTTCTACATGAATAATTAAAGCTGCATGGCGCAACTTTTCTGGTGGAGTGTCCTCTACCTGCTTGTCTCCATGGAGATGTGAATACTTTGCCTGGAATGTTCCATGGTATGATAATAAACACGTCCACCTAGCTTTTATTCATTACGGGTGCTTCTGTTGCTTAAAAATATTATAATTCCTTCTGTGAATAGGGGCGACTTTCCACAGACCTGAACTGTAATGTAGTGTAGTAACAACATGTACATGGAGTCAAACAAGTGGCAGACCCTCCACTAAAAATGTTACACAGTGCACCTTTAAGACTGTTGTAAGTAAACATTACTTAAAAGTCCATTCCTTTTTACTCATCCAGGTATGAAAACACTCAAACAATATTTTTAGGTGAACTGAACTTCTTCTTTTTTTTTTTTTTTTCCTTTTTCTCACAATGTTTCACCTGGCCACCCTCACCAGCTGCAGTCTGTCATCTGTCTGCTTCGTAATCCACTTCTATAGTCACAGTGTTTGGGAGCTGAGACAACTTGTTCTTCCTTAAAATAAAGGGGGAACATAACAAAATCCACTTGAGGAAATAATATAGTTTTGTGAAAATGTTATAAACTGTAAAATGGTGCACAAATAACACACAGTTGGCAGGTTTGTAGGTCTCACCGTAGTTTGAGGCTCTCTGGAGGCATCAGTTCCAGAGTGTGGGTGGGTCCGTACAGATTCACCACAAACAGCTTCACTGCGGGGTTCGGCTGTCCTGCCTGTGGACACAAGACGCATGAGACACAAGACAAAATAAAACAAAGCACGACTTTATCAACCTCAAAACATCTTCTCACAACATCAGGAAGTAAGTACATTTTTATGGTAACCTCATAGACTAAATGGACATAGGTAACCCGCTAGCCCCTGCATTCTGGCTCCACCAACTCCATCCATCCATTTTCTTCCACTTATCCGGGCCTGGGTCGCGGGGGCAGCAGTCTAAGCAGGGAGTCCCAGACTTCCTTCACCCTGGACACTTCCTCCAGCTCCTCCGGGGGGACTCTGAGGTATTCCCAGGCCAGCCAAAAAACATAGTCCCTCCATCGTGTCTTGGGTCATCCCCAGGGCCTCGTCCAGGTAGTACATGCCCGGAACACCTACCGAGGGAGGTGTCAAGGAGGCATCCAGCACTGGCTCCTCTCAATCTGGAGGAGCAGCGTTATGGATCCTCTTGCAGGTGCTGGGTCCATGGGAGGACGGCCTCATATTGATCCTTCAGGCTGTGCCCGGCTGGACCCCATGGAGGAAGGCCTGGCCACCAGACGCTTGCTGTTGAGCACCCACCCCAGGTCTGGCTCCAGGGTAGGGCCCCAGCAATGTAATTCCGGGTGACGTAACTGGCCTTTCTGTGTTTTCCTTCATAAAGGGCTTCTGAACTGCTTTAAGACTGACCCAACCCCAGGACCTGTTTGCCTTGGGTGACCCTAGCAGGAGCTTGAAGCCTCCGACAACATAAATCCCATGATTGTTTGGGCACTCAAACCCCTCCATCACATTAAGGTGGCAGTCAAGGAGGGGTCCATCAATTCCAATTTTACGTTTTTACTTCACTATGTTAAATTAATAAATAAATTTTCTATTCCTAATATGAAATGCAAATCCAAATTCCAAATGAGCTCCATTTACCTGGAGTCAAACGCTATGACATCACACTCCCTTTGCCCACTTTTTTATACAGTCTATGTCTAACCGTCATCTTTACTTCATAAATCAGTTCTAGATCTAAACCAGAGCCTCAACGAGTTCAAACCGGGACTTGCAGATCTAAGAATACATTCACACTGCTCTGTTTGGGACCTGAGCCCAGTTTTGCCCAGGACTAAACCCTGTTCAAGTCTTGTTTAAGTCCTGGTCTAATCCAGGTTTAGTCCCAGTTTTGATGTGGAGTTTGTGAACTAATCTAAACCAGAACTACACACCTGTAACACAGTTTGAGAACCTCACAAAGAAAAAGGTGGCAAATTCATATGCAGAAAACGTAACGTAAACCCTCATATTAATAATTGAGCAGTATGTTATGAATCCCAGGCTTGCATTGGATAAACGTAATAAATATGGTAATTTAGATGTGTAGGTTGTCTCTGCATTTCTTATGAACCACGTTACACCAGGCACTCAAATAACACCAACATTAGCCAAAAAAAAGCTATTTCCACGCACTTTGAGCAAGACGTTAATACATGAATTGAGCAGTAATCATTTGGTGGAGTCGGTGTTTTGCATTGAACCATTTTACTTCTCATTTGGGTAATTATATAATGTAATCTATTGGTGGAAAATTAATCCCACAAATTAATTAGCATTAGCTGTGTGGTAATGCTGTTATCTGAATATAGCCTGAATATATGGTCTATGAAAAACAACAAGATCATTTCAGCCTCATTCTTTATTGAATTATTACTGCGGCAAAGCCAGGCCTATTAACATGATTACTGAATGGGATCTTACAAGTCAAATATTAAGTTTGCTTACGAAGAAAAGGAGAGAATACTTTTTACTTTTTTGTTTTTAATTTAGTTTAGTTTTGGTGAATGTGTGGTGAGAGTGTATTGGAGGTGGTTTAGACCTGGTTTAGGGTTAGAGTGGGTTTTGTAATTGCTTAGTCCTTGATTTGCATTCAGTCCTGGTATGGTCCTTTTTAAGTTTTGGTTTAGACTTGATTAAGGTGGTTTGGTTTACTCCTTGGTTGGCCTGTGTTAGACTTGGTTTAGTCCTGTTTAAGTCCTGTTTAAATTCAGGTCTAGTCCAAATTTAGTCCAGGATTAGTCCAGGTTTTGATGCGTAGTATGTGAACAGTTTGTGGACTAGTCTAGACCAAAACGAAGTACCTGTACCACAGTTCAGCCCTGCATTAGTTCAGCTCTGGTTTAGACCTTGATTAGCTTTGGTTTAATCCTGGTTTAGTCCTTAATTAGACCTGATAGTTAGTTGTTAGACCCTGCTTAGTCCTAGGTTAGACCTAGTTTAGTACTGGATTAGCAGTGTTCTAGATTGGTCCTTGGTTATCTTGGCGTAGGTTTCGACCTGGTTTAGTCTTAAGGTAGACCTGAGTAGCCCTTGTTTAGTCCTGGTGTAGTTCTGGCCTAGACCTGGTTTAATCCTTGTGTAGTTGTGATCTAGTTCTGGGTTAGACCTGGTTTAGTCCTCATGTAATTCTGATCTAGTTCTAGGTAAGACCTGGTTTAGCCGTTTTGTTTAGTCCTGCTCTAGTTCTGGCTTAGACCTGGTTTAGTCCATGTGTAGTCCTGATCTAGTTCTAGGTTAGACTAAGTTTAGGTCTTGTTTAGTCCTGGTTTAGTTCTGGCCTAGTTCTGGTTTAGTCGTGGTGGGTTAGACCTGGTTTAGCCCTTGTTTAGTCCTGGTTTAGTCCTGGTTTAGTTCTGGCGTAGATCTGGTTTAGTCTTTGTGAAGTCCTGATCTAGTTCTAGGTTAGACCTGGTTTAGTCCTTGTTTAGTCCTGGTTTACTTCTGGCCTGGACCTGGTTTAGTCCTTGTGTAGTCTTGATCTAGATCTAAGTAAGACCTGGTTTAGTCCTTGTTTAGTCCTGGTTTTGTTCTGGCCTAGACCTGGTTTAGTCCTTATGTAGTCCTGATCTAATTCTAGGTTAGACCTTGTTTAGCCCTTTTTTTTTGTCCTTGTTTAGTTCTGGGCTATATCTGGTTTAGTTCTTGTGTAGTCCTGATCTAGTTCTGGTTTAGACCTGGTTTAGTCCTGGTGAGTTAGACCTGGTTTAGCCCTTGTTTAGTCCTGGGTTAGTTCTGTCTTAGGCCTGGCTTAGTCCTTGTGTAGTCCTGGTTTAGTTGTGGCTTAGACCTGGTTTAGTCTTAGTCTTGTCTGTAGTTAGTCCTGTAGTCTAGTCTTGTAGTCTGGTTAGTTCTGTAGTCTTAGTCTGTGTAGTCCTAGTTGTGGCTTAGACCTGGTTTAGTACTTGTCAAGTCTTGATCTAGTTGTAGGTTAGACCTGGTTTAGCTCTTGTCTAGTCTTGGTTTAGTCCTTGGTCAGGCCTGGTTTGATTCTGATATAAACATGTGTGTGTATTGTCCATATTGTATTGTCTTAAATCGTTGTCTGTCACTCTTCTGACCTTGGGGTAGGGGTAGTGCTTGCCCCGGGGGTAGGTGGTCCCAGTGAAGCGAGGCAGGACCATGTTTGGGACCAGAGTGTCGTTCAGGACCAGGAAGGCCAGTCTCTCTCCATCGGGGGACCACCAGTGAGCCACGTGGGTCTCCAAGATCTCCTCTGCACACACACACACACACACACACACACATACAGACAATTATCAACAGTTTCAAATCAAATGAATACATATATTAGATGGGAAATAGTTTTTGTTTATTGTTTTCTAGTATCTGAGCCACTACATGGATTGTCATACAGCTCCTTTAATATCAGTACCAATTGGTGCGTGTGTTATTGTTAAAAGGTCTCTCTCTTTCCATGGTATAGTACATCGGTTTTCAATAGGTGAGGTGAAAGAGCCACTGAGAAGACAAGACACACACGTGAAGAAAAAATAAAGGTCCACATCTGTACACATCTGCAGCAGAACTGATATCGGTAATTGTGCGTGTGTGTATTAACTGTAAAATTATGTCGCCGTTCTGACAACCTACTCATAGTCTGGAGTGTCGTTTTTTTTAATCTTGTATACACGTACGCCGCGTGGACTATGTCTTCTCGAGTACGCTGGGTGGGCTGCGACTCCTTCCGTGCACAGCGTGGGCTCATCTCTAAACCAGGACTAGAACAAAACTAAAACCAGGACTAAACCAAAACTAAAACTAAATTAAAACCAGGACTAAAACAAAACTAAAACCAAAACTAAAACCAGGACTAAAGCAAAACTAAAACCAAAACTAAAACCAGAACTAAATCAGGACTAATCCAAAATTAAAACCAGGACTAAACCAAAACTAAAACCAGGACTAAATCAGGACTAAACCAAAACTAAAACCAGGACTAAACCAAAACTAAAACCAGAACTAAATCAGGACAAATCCAAAACTAAAATCAGGACTAAACCAGGACTAAACCAAAACTAAAACCAGGACTAAACCAGGACTAAACCAAAACTAAAACCAGGACTAAATCAGGACTAAACCAAAACTAAAACCAGGACTAATCCAAAACTAAAACCAAGACTAAACCAAAACTAAAACCAGGACTAAACCAGGACTAAACCAAAACTAAAACCAAGACTAAACCAGGTCTAACAGAGGACTAAACCATGTTGTGCGTGGGGTATAGTACATTCGGTATGTGTGTTTATATTAAGGGAGCCTATGGATGTCCAAGAATTGTTCTGTGGTGATGGTGGTGATGTATGTCACGTAAACGTCTGACTTGTCTTGTCTTGGGTGGTGTAAACGGAAATGCTACAGCGGAGCGTTTTCAACTTTTCCACTCTGGAGGGTGGTTTCAGATTTTTGCATTTTTAAGCCCCAAAAACGGCGTCACCGTCTAAACAAAAGGCACTGTATTTGTTTATGTCAAAGTGGTCAGTAGGTAAGAGACTTTTACAATTTGATGATGTTGCTGGTTTGATTGGTATAGTTAAACCATCACAGTTACACAATAATAAAACTCCATAGACAGAGCCATACCTTCGTAGAGCCAGTCTGCGATGCCGTTGAAGATGACGCCCTCTTTGCCTGAAGATGTGAGCCTCAGTGAGTTACTCTTCACATCAGACTGGTAGTAGATGTTATTCTCAAATATGTACATCTGGAAAATACAAGCAAATATACATACATAACTGTACGATTCAGTCACTCATCATCTACAACATCTAACTACCTTCATGAAAACCAGCCTAAATTTAATTAAATAAATAAGAAAAAATTAAATAAAAAAAATAATAAAAGTCAATCTGTGGAAAGGCGAGCCCACTAAAGGTAAGAATGCATGTTTTAGATGGTATAACAACACCCTATAATTGAATAAATGCAAGATATATATGTTTACTACTGTGCTGTGGAATAATCATTAACATTTTTATATTAAAATTATCATTATTATTTTTACTATTACTAAGCTGCATAAATAAACTCAACTTTACAACATATAAAGTATAACCACTATAGAGCCACATCAGCCTGTTTGACATTATAATGTGTTTAATGCAGCTTTGACACATTTGTTTACGTTTTACAGAAACGAAAATTAAAACCACATGGCTCATTGCATAAACTATAAGCACTGAAAAAAAACAGCTCTTTCCTTGTGCGCTGATGCGGTTCAGCTTCTGTCGGACTAAAGGACACGACTCAGTGGAATATGAGTGTTCTTTCTGTGACAGAGGGATGTTGATGATGATGATGGTGAGTCTGTTCTGTGCGTGTGTATCACGTTGGAGATGGTTCATGTTTTCAGAGATCAGACGTGTGCAGGTTTAGTGCAGCTCTTTTTCACTCACTTTATTTATGTTGGTCACTTTATTATAGCTTTATTATGGCTTCTGTTGTGATGAAAAAACTGAAAAGTCTTTGTCTCTTGGACACATGTGCACTCAACTTTATGTTGCAGTAACCGGGTTACTGTGTATACATGCACCATGATGATACTCAGAAAACCCAATCATAACCAGGACACTGTTGTGCATGTAAACACACTCACTGAGTGGTACAGTGATCTCCAAGGAGGTGTGTCAGAGCCCAAACATGGGACTGTGAGGCGCAACTCCAGTGTTTGTGTTGTCAGACGCAGTCTCGTCTCCTAACGGTACACACAGTAACCTACATTCAATCTGTCGATTAAAAATGAATATGATCAACGGAATTCTTAATGATCAATTATCGATTAATCGACTCATGCCCATCCCTACTCACAAGGGTTCATTTTAAGTAATACAGAACCTTGTATGCAAAAAAATACATTTCCTCAGGGTGAGTTAGTTGCAGGGTTAACACAAAATTCACTCTCACATGCATTTTAACAACTGACAAATAATCTGCCTTTTCAAGACAGTGGAATATAGAAGCTTGAACATGATGAATAATGCAATGCAGAGCCTGTTGTAAAACTCATGTTAAGTTTGTTGATAAAGAATAAAACTCATATAGTGGGTGTATTATCTGCATAGAAGTCAATAATGTAAAAGTGGTGTTAGGTAACTCTCAGGGGAACACGGTGAGGAGGTATTATTATTATTATATAGTATTATTTAAACTCTGTGTGTAATTGAGTCTTGGCTGTACATACACACTTGAGCAAAGGAACTCTGGTCATTTGCTGTAATCTAATCGTCCACTGGGTCTTTGTGAGTAAAGGATTGCATAACATGAAGACAATCAATATGAGGTTTAATGATTCTGAGAAGAGTCTTAGAAATAAACTGTGCACTATAGGAGCTCTGTGAAACTCGTCTCCATGGAGATGTTATTGCCTCTGTTGTTTCACAGTATGGGATTAAATCTGAGCAGCCGTTTATTTCATTAACAATGTCTTAACGTTCAAAACTACCTTTAAAAATGTGCACTGTATTGCAGGATCGCCTTTCCACAGATCTTACCTGCAACCTGGTCTGATGTCATAACTTGCTTGTCTCCATGGAGATAGATAGGTTTAATGCTATGAAGACAAACATAGTAAAGAAAAGCAATAATATCTCATTGGAGACAAGCAGGTGGAAGACCCATCACCAGAAGAGTTGCACAGTGAATCTTTAAGTCATTTATCTGCATGCACTTAAACACTGAGTAAAGCTTATTTCATTCTGTGTGTGTGTACACAACATATTTTAGTCTTTACCTTCTTATCATTAAAAAAGAAAAACTGAAATTGTACTAACACTAGCCGTTAGTAGTAGTAGTAGTAGTAGTAGTAGTAGTAGTAGTAGTAGTAGTAGTAGTAGTAGTAGTAGCAGCCTTATCACAATGACCGTATTTGTCAGACTATAAGTCACAGTTTTTTCATGGTTTGGGTGTTTCCTGTGACTTATACTCCAGTGGGACTTATATATTAAAAATTTCACACTGACTTGTGTGCCAGTATCTGCTGCTCCTATTACTCCTGTACCACTGGCACTACAGCGCATGTCTCCTGCAGAAAGAGCCACTGTTCTGTCTGTATCATGTCATCATTACTTCTGTAACATTAAATTTAAACAAACTTATGAAGATGACTGAGAAGACTGAACACAAATGCCCCAAAAAGAAAATTATATTTTGCAGATTATGAACTGCAAGTAGTGAAATATGCATCTGAAAATGCAACTTTCCTGGAAGTCATTGGATGGATGGACAAAGCATAAGCCTGGACTTCAGTGACAACCAAAAAGATCCTGTCAGGATTCAGAAAGGCCGGAATAATTCTGAACTGAATCTGATGACAGCTACACAGAAGAGGAAGCGGCGCCTCTGGGGTCGCAGAGGTGTTCAGAAGTGACACTAAGGATGAAGAATCCAGTGGAATTAGTGATTTGGAGTGAGATGGCGAGTTTGGTAAACTTGTTCTGTTCTGTTGTTATTACTAGAACTTGACCTTCAAGATGAAATGTTGGTTCCTGGTCTCAAATTTTATAAAAAATATGTTTCCCCCAAAAAGTGCAAATTATAGTCCGGAGCAACTTACAGATGTTTTTTTCTTCTTCATTACACATTTTTGGCTGGTGCGACTTATACTCCATAAAATATGGTAGTTCTCGTAGTTGCAGGGTTAGTATTTGTAAATATTATTATTTGTAGAAACTGTTAACAAACTATCAACCTACCAATTGTTGATGTGATTACTATACTTCTTGTTAATGGCAAAAGGAGAAATTAATTGGATGGATTCTACCTGGATGACTGAGGGACTTTACACATATACTTCTTATTAAGGCTGGCAAAAGTATCGGAAATCAGATAATCAATACTAAAACTAGTATCGAAACTAGATACTCATTTGAGCAAGAATCAGTGCAAAATAAATAAATAAATAAATAGATCACACAAACAGGATCACATTTGACATTTCCTGAAGTTTCATCTTGAGTTGTAACAGAACTAGTGTATGGATACTTTGCGCTGAGGGTGTTCTACGTGTAACTCAAACGGTGGAATGTTCAGCAGTGATAGCCTGAACACTCAAGAAAAAATACACACTGGATTTAAACAACACATTTCCAAATCTAGTCTATTCTTTGGTACTGAAATCGAGTTTGAAATGTTAGTATCATGACAACAATAATTCTTCTCCAGGTTTACTTTCTATATAACTTCTTGGTAGAGCGGCTACTTTTACTAGGATGATGTTCCTGAGCAGTAACTCTACTCTGACTTCCTCCTCTGCAAAGTTATGACATAATTTTGCAGACATTTTGAGCCGGCTCTTCATGCAGGAAGTTTGGTGGTGAAATAAAAAGCCTAATTAAACTGACTGTGCGACATCCATTCGGTGTTGGAGCCACAGATTTGATTAAAACAGAAGAATATTGTGATTTATGAAAGTGCTTTGGGGAATAAGAGCTCCCTTTATCATTGGGATCTGTGTAAGTGCTTTGGACATTTGTCTCCTCCAAGGTGAAGCAGTCTGCAGTGTTTTTAAACTTATTCAAGTAAAAGAGAAGTCTGTGTGTGTATGTGTGCACTGTGTCAAGATATGTGTTCAATTCGCTGAGGTGATTTCAGTTTTTGGGATTATAACTACTGAAAGACAAACAAGTTCAGCCAGATGGATAAGTTATGTTTTCTCCAATGTTGATGTGCCTTTAAAGATGTAGTATGGAACCTTCTGTTGGGGATCTGTCACCTGCTTGTCTCATGGAAATGGTATTTCTTTGGCTAAAATATTCTGCAGTACAGTATTGTACTTTTCTGTCTTCATGGAGACAGGCAGGTGTTACAAGCCAGATCTGTGGAGAAACACCTGTAATTTAATAAGTGCTAGATCCATGTTTAACTAGCCAGGCTGCCACCACCTAATGCCTCTGCTCAATTTCATTTCTCTCCAGCAACTAGGTCAGGAATCAGAATACAATAGACGGTTTGCAAGAACCCGGAAGTGAGAGTCCGGCACCAGCCAATCAGCGAAGAGTCATACATTCTGTGTTGGCAACGATTCCCTAGATTGAGGATTTAAAGCCGAAACAAAGAGAATGTTTGGTGAATTTTATCGAGGAGAATGTCTTTATTGCCCATCTTCCTATGGGATTTGGGAAAAGCTTAATATACCAGTTAGGTTAAATAAAAAAAAAAGCTCACCTACCATCGAGAAAACGAATTCTAATGCTGCAAGGTCAGATGGTTTCAACAAAGCAAAACTGGCTGATGAATCAGGCTAATGTTTAATGTCATAATGTGGAACATTCTAGGCAAAGCAATAGCATCTCCATGGAGACAAGCCAATGACGTACCAAGGTTACACTGTGTGCTAGAGGTGTAACAATAACCAAAATATCATGATATCATATCGTCAAAAGTCTCTCAGTAATATTGTGGACCATCACATTATATCGAATCACAAGTTTCTTTGCCTAAATGTATTGTTATGATGCAGCAATATAAAAAAAAAAAAACAACAACAGAGGGAACGTCATGATCCTTTGCTCTGTTTTGGTACAAACTACATGAAAAAAAATAGCAGTTCTAAGCACTTTTAAAACTTAGTTATTTGAATTAAGTCTTGTCGAGGCATTTTAAGAGGAAAAAGTAGCGTATTCACAATTTTGGATATTGTTACTTCCCTACTGTGCACCTTTAAACCAGCCTTGCCAGCAAGATGAATTCTCCTTAGTTCACAAATTC